TCAGGAATATATTTTGTTTTGAAATGGCTGTTTATGATTTGAGTTTTAAAAATTATTATTATAGGACAAAATGTGAAGGAAGTTTGATGTAGGTAATTTTGTTATCGCAATTATAAGGCATATACTCCTGTATATATTTTCAGACTTGCATGCTAACTGATATTTCAAATCCCAGAATGAGACACCTTACTGCATATCATAGCCCCATGGATTTAACCACATGATTTCTTTCTTGTTCCCTCTACTTCTGAGCATCTGCTAGAAAGTCATGAAGGTCTATTTTTTTTTGTCTTGTGTATATGCTAACTGATTCATACATCCATACACTTAAAATAGTTTACACATATTTTTATTTTTTATTTCATTATTTATTTTTATATTCTATACTTAGTAGCACATTTTATTCATTTATAATACTGGATATTTGATACGGCGATGTTCTTGTTGGAAGACAGTAGATTATCAGAGAGAACTTTCCAGATGAACCTTAATTATTGATGATAAAAATAATAGTTCCTGTCACAAGCAGTAAAATGTAGCTGTAGTTCCTGTGCTTGTCTGTATTTTATAGGTAATCTTATTTTTCCTTCCCAATCACATTAGTTATGTGGTAATATTAAGGTGTGTTTTTCTGGATGGCAGATATTTTTTACAACCTACTGATTTTCCTGTTTTCATGCTTGTGAGTTCTCTGTTTACATGTAGCAAACTTAGCTGCTTTGCATGGCAGTCTTTTGCCTTTTTATAGGCTTTTAATAAAATCAGACCTTTCTGAAAGTGTTGTTTGGCTGAGGGCTTGGAGTTGTGTGAAAGCAGAACTGCGTCTACTCTACTGGTGAAGAGTATTTTCTGTTTTAACAGCTCCACATAAATCCTTCTCCATTGTTACAGAAAAACAGACTTCTACTGTGCCTAATGTCATGGCCATAGAAAACATATGAAAATATAAACCAAATTAAAAAAAAGTTGTATGAAATTTGGTATAAAAGTTTCTATCTCTGTTTTTAAAGTATTGGACAAAAAAAACCCAAGTACTTTTTATTAATAACCTATGTGTAGTAAAAGATATTTGAAATACTTTTCCCCTGAAATTAATGCTGTCTCAGATTTTCACAGATTTTTCCAAAGCTGATTGTCAATCTTGCATTTTCAAATAAAATGAAAAGCAGCCTGCCATATCAAGTTTTCCTGATCAGTAAATAGGTAGATAGGATAAGAGATAATATGAAACAACCTGAAATAAGTAAAGTTACGTTAAAGTTCTGCTTGGATGATTTTGAAAATTCTTCCATCCCCCCCCCCCCTTTTTAAAAAAAAAAAAATCATGCTAAGTGAATTGGTTGTCAGATTCTTGTTAGTTTGCTGGATGAAACTTATGAATTAAACATCTGTGAAAAACGAGGGAGGTGCAGAGCTGATCAGGGCAGTTCTGTTCAGGAGTTCCTTAGAGGGAGCTAATAAAGCTCTTAATCCTAACATGCTCTTAACAAAGTCTTTAACATCATGCCTTGCATACCCAAACAACCCTCTGCTTGTTTTCTGTAAGGTTAAGATTGGTGTGTGACATGATGAAGTATACGGAGTGACTTCTTCAGATACTTTCAGGTCATAAAAATTTTAAGGCAGGAGATAAAAATACGGTCTCCTCTAGTTACAGAATAGTTTAACATACAGGCATTCAAAAAAATTAGAGGATACTTTTAACAGTTGTTGGAGATACCTTTTGTTTGTTTTGTTTTGATTTGCGGATTTTCTGATAATTCAGGTGGGGGTTGTGTCTCAGGCTTTGAAGGGCAGAATTTAGATTCTATGCAGTCCTTTCATTGGAAAAAATGCATATTTTTTTTTAAAAGGAGTGATCAGTTCCCTTTTTGTCTCAATTGCTGATTGTTTGGACTATATTGAAATTAAATAGCATCCAGTTAACTGTTATTTCTTTTGCTAGGTATATACCTACCCTGTTGAACTAAAATAAATTCAGAAAACCACATGCATTTCAGTAAAAGTAAACTGGCAATTATTAAATTGTTGCTAAAGTCAAATGAGTTAATTCTGCCAGGGTTTCTGCCTTTCTTCATGTTTGTCCTCTGTGTGTTTGTGTTTTTCTGCAAAACAGAACTTCCTTGTGTCAAAAAAAGCAGCTTGAATTAAGCTTCAAGTCTTCCATTATACTTTTAAACAAACAGTCATATGTATTTATTTCTTCAGCGTTAACTCATATTTAGTTAATACATGAGAGAACCTACCTCCTGTTGGTCACACAAATTACTTGTTTACAACTACGTCAGACTTGCATCAGCACTTATTGTTATATTGCCATGGTTATATATTGTTAAACTTAACCTTGTGCTTGGTTGCTAATCAAAAACTAGCTAGCAGTCCAGATGTTTAACAGAAATATCATAGCTTTGTTTTCCTTTTTAGCCCAACAGAAAAAGTTACTATCCCTTGCTTGGACATCATATTTTATATACGTGCACATAAATTCAATGCATTTGTGTCAAACATGTTCAGTCACAAATAGTCTTTGCTATTTGCATTTTCATGGCAAAGTGAATGTTACCACAGTGAAGCAATATAGTTGCATCATCAAGACTAAGGGGGATATTTTCCACAATTTTTTTCTACTTTATTGTTTTTCTGAAGTGTGATTTGCCTTGGGATTTCATATTTATACATCAGTATTACACACTGAAACCGAAGTAATTTCTGCTAATGCATTTCTGTCAGTGAGTGATTTCTCGCGTCATCTATTGTTAGTTCAGAACCTTCCTTTTGTTAATTCTCAGTATTACCAGGAAAGAAAAATGGGCTTGCTATTAAGCTTTAGCACTTCCTCAAGTCTGGTGTGTGACCTCTGCTGGGGCACATCATGTCTTTGTAGATTGAAATGTTAATAGTTTCTTCCTCTTACCATTTTATGTTCTGTTTATTAAAGTTTGCAATATTTCATTGTGCTTATACAGTGGCCCCTGTTATGAAAGACATCTAAGGGAAATCTCTAGAAGGTGTTTATAATAGTAATAATAAATAATATTTGACTCTAGTCAGATAGAGACTACTGACTTTCTCCCCTCACTGTCCAAAACCCTGACAATTTGCCATCTTTTTCCTAGAAGCTTAAAGGAAGAAAAAACATCTAGAGCTGCTCCTGGCTCTGTCTCGCTGCCTGGTGGTAAAACCCATCACTGGTAAGAGCAGACTAGCCAGAGGAAAGATGTCCCTAATGCATCCAATGTGAATATAAGAAAATAGTGACCCTTGGAAGCAAAGTGTTCAGAACTGTTAGTAGTGACTGAACACTTTCAGAAATGGTCTCAAATACTTGTGGTTTCTAAGAAACATTATCTTTTTGTGTAAAAATTACATACATGGAAATATCTGTATTTAGGGAAGACATCAGATGTTGGATATGTTTTTAATTGAAAAGTTTCATTTACACTTTGGAACTCCATAGTTGATCTATTTTTTTTTTTTTTTTTTTTGTGTGTGTGTTATTTTACATGGTAGACCAAAGGCATTTTCAGTGTGATTTCTCTTGGGTGCCTGGCATTCAAGAAGAATAATGGAGATAGGAAATAATTTAATATCAGGGAGTTCTTCAGAAACATTTTTGCTTAAGTGGCTATTTTTTTTTAATACAGATTTGATTAAATACTAATGAATGCAGCAACATGAAACTACTGAGAATATTATCTGATGAATGTTGTTTACAACATCATATGAAGAACAGGGTGAGATATAGAATACCAGTTAAGTTCAGTTTGAATGGAAGTAGACCAGAGAGAATGATTTGGTAACAGCTGGACTCCGGACAAGGTTTTAGTTGTATGGAAAGTATGAAAGCAGTTGGCTGTGGAACTGTATAATGAACAACCAGGTAAAGTTAGTCATGTCGTCCTGGGTGGGAGAAAAAAAGCAAAAGAGTTGAAGATGATACCAAGATTGAACCAGTGGCTTTGTGACTCTGAGGGGGCAAATAATAGAGCTATTGATCGAAGCAAGAGGAGAGGGAAAAGGACGAATTTGGATAAAGATAATAAACAACCACTTCAGCTCATGTTAATTGCTATATGCTCTGTTGACTTCATTCACAGTGGTTGAGGATGTGGCCTATTGAGTTCAGCTTTAATGATAAGTTTGAGTTGGCAGGAAGATTTCAGAATAAAATCTCAGCAGAGATGAAAAACTGAGATTGTAGATCCTGAATTCTTGCAAGTGGGCTGGTATCTTGGTTCATTGAGTTGTGATGGCAGTTTAGGGAAGATGAGTTAGCTGTGCAGAAGTTGAACAGAAAAATCCTGAGGGAGCCTGAAAGAACAGGAAAAGAGATAGGAAGAAATCCAAAGGCCAAAGAAAGGTTAGAAAGAAGAGAGATAGGAGCCTGGAAAAGCAAAGTATGTGAAAGAATCCTAGTAGTGAGATTAACCATAAAAACTGAAAGCATATAAATAAGCCAAGAGGAAAATGATTTTTTATTTTTTTTTTCACTCAGTTTAACAGAAAACAGATGAAAGTATTAATTCTCTGAGGCAGGAATAATGTAATTACAACATAATAAAAGTTAGTTCAAATAATTCTCATTTTCAGGAAGATATTAGAAAATATAAAGTTTATGTTTTCTCAGCTCTTATATGTATTTGATCATAGTTCAAATCTTAACATATTTCAGTGTCTTTTATGCTTTGTTATATTTACTTACAGAAAACAACACATGCTGCAATTTTTTCATGAGATTGACATTACATTTAAATAATTGCATCCAGGCAATGTGTAAAGAAACTAAAAAGGCTGTAAGAGTTTAGGTGAATACCAAAACCAATCATTTGTCTTTTGCTGGGTAGTTTCATTTCTTTGTGTAAAAATACAGATCAGTAAACAAATATACGTGATACTAATATAATTTTTGTACATTTTCCCAACATGGCATTATAGTCTTCAGATTAGTTTTATTGTCTAAATAAATTCTTTAATTAAATTGAGCTCTTTTTTATTTAAAGCTGTCTTTTGGGGAGATATTGCCTTAGATGATGAAGACTTAAAAATCTTTCAAATTGACAGGACGATTGATCTTACGCAGCACTCCAACGAAAGACTTGGCCATAACACAGGTATGATATTTCAAGCTTGTTTTAACTTGTTTTTCCTGATATTTACTTCTGCATAGAAAGCAATCTCTCTTTTAAATGTAGAAAGTCAGTATAATGTTTTGGGTACTAGTTTTTACTTTAAAGAGAATATATTTTTGCTTTATGGGGAAAGAAAGAAGCTAAAATTTTGATTTTATTCTTGCATTTCTGATTAATAGTATCACATTGAACTGAAGAGCAGAAGCTGGTAGGAACCATAAGGCCACTCCTCTCTGCAGGTGTTTGTGTGGGAAAGGAAATTGTACAAAGCTTTGCTTTCATTGCTAAAAGTTCCCGATCACAGTGCCTGAGTGCCCTATAGAGAGCATATGTGAATTCCTGGAGGCGATACTGAGAATCTTGGATTACAACTCTTCCTTTAGCTATTTTTTCAGCTCCATTCAGACCTGTACCCAGATTTAGAAGCAACACAATAACGTCATTCTTGCTAGAATTTGCCTTGTCTAAAAAACAAATATCTGATTTGTGTCACTGATTTGTACATTCATAACTGAGAATGGTAAACTTTCAGCTTATGGTTCTGGAAAAGCCAAGTGACTTACAAAAAGTTTGGGCAAAAATGCTATTAGATGTTTAAATGCATAATTGAAATTTATTTTCTATTAAGCATGTTTTATGTGTTCCTGAAGTACTATTAACTCGATTCCTGATATGTGGAAATGGGATCACCTTGAGGAATAAGCAGAAAGGAATTTTTGAGAACAAAGGAAAAAAAAAATGTTAACCATTCAATATCGATATATTTAAAATATTTTTACTCTTCCTAGTTAGAAGTCATGATTAGACTATTTTTATAACAACTTTAAAGGGAGATAAAATAAATTTTCAAGCCAATTGTGTTTTCAAGGCAGGAACACCTTTGATCATTCCTAGGTCAGGACTGGATTGAAAAATGTTAATGGAGTCAGTGGTTTCCCTGCCTCACTTTCCCCCCAAAAAATAGCTTTAATTGGCTTCAAAGATATTTCAGGCACTAGTTTTGCTGACAAAATGTAGAGAGCAAGGTCGGTCATTTCCCCTTAAAATGGATGCAGTCAAGTGATTTCTTTGGCCTGCTGACTTTCTTTTTTCTTCTTGCTTTTCTATATTTTTTATTCTTTTTAACGGCACAGTTATTTCTTTGTCAGTTGCAACTGCAAGAATATACATTTTTAAGCTGTTTCTAAAGAATATTTAATATTCTGTTATTTTATATTCTGTCTGAGATTTGTGAATTGTTTTTCCTGTAGACAGTATCCCATTCGGGATATTGAGTCACCCTATTAAGGATTACTAATGCATTTGGATCAAATTTTTCTACCTTTATTGCACAAGGAGAATCAATGCAACTGCAGTGGTCACTGGGACTTGACTTTGTAGAACAAATTCTGCTGAAATTAATAATTTTGTAATAGCATTCAGTGAACCCTCAACGGTCTTGATTTTTCTAAAAACAGGATTCGAGACCTCAATTTTACACTTTATATATGTAATTATTTTTCTAAATTTATGTCATTTTGTTGCATTAACAAGGAATTTAGCTGGGTTTTGCAAACTGCACAGCCTAGGATGCTTTTTTCCTTTTAACTTCCAAGAGACTAAATTGTCAACAACTGACTAGTTAATATTAGGTATAGACATAAAATGTCTGTAAAATAGAAGATAAATTAATATTTTACCTCAGTTACAGACACAATGACAATTAAGTACAAGCTTGATTTCTTAACAGTTTCTCTTGTTGACCTTCACAAAGTACAGGTGACACCAGGTAGAAGAGTTAGATGCTTGGGTGTAAACCATCAGGATGAAGCTACAGTGTTGCATTTTTCATTGCAACTACTAATTAAAATCCTGACGCTATCAGGTTCTGATTCACATTAGCTGACACTCCGTTTGGTGAGGATTATCTGCCTAGATCTGCAGGGTCAGATACTTAGTCTGTAAGCTTCTCAGAGTGTGGCTCTGTCATTTTATTTGTCCTTTCTTCTGAGCAATAGGCATAATCACTGTAAACAGAAACAACAATAAAGCTGATAAGATTCTTGTGTGTATTATCATTCCAAACTGCCAAAAGTATCCTCTTTTTCCTGCCTGAACTGTGAGAAGATGCAGCAAATGTGATTGATTTTGCTTAAAAAATTTTTTTAGACTGTGTTTTGGCAAGGCTGCATATTATTCATCTAAGAAAGATTAGTTATGTGGGATACTTTTCTTTCTTTAGTTTTTCACTAAATAGACTACGCAGGCTGTGTTAACACAGTAATGCTAGTTTCATAATTTTTTCTAGAAATAATTATAAGGCAATAGTTTCTTTAAGTAAATAATGGATTCTTTGTCTTTTTTTTTCTATTACATCTGACAATTGATGCTTTTAGGGATATTTTAGAATTAATTTGGAATCTTTAGCTATATGCCTTTTCTAATAAGATGAATGTTAAAATGAGAGACAATTGCATTATTGATGATCAATACAAGGGATGGAATTGTTATGTACTCTGTGGTGTATATTATAGTTACCATGTAACTTGTTGGAAAGGAATGTGTTGAACTATTACCTCATCTATATAAAATGCTTTAAAAAATTTGGAAAATTTTTCTCAAGGGAGCCAAGCAACTATGTGACAGTGTAATCCAAATAATTAGGCACATTGTTATTCACTGAGCAGCCACACTAACTAACTTGCCTTATATGGAATTTTCTCATCTGTAATAGAATTTCTAGTTGCTGTTTGATAAATATATTCTCGATATATATATATTGACAGCTTTTATGGGAAGTTGGGAAAGGTCTTTTTAGTGGCAGTTGCAGGTTTCAATGGTCCTTTAATTTCTATCATTTTACTTTTGCTGTTGTAAAGTAGCCTGAAAAATCTCTTGTCCTGTAACAGATAGTGAATACAACCTATTACAAACTTCAGAAAATCACAAAACTTTCTGAACAATTCGGAATGATTTATTGACTATTGCAGCATTATTCTTTCTTCTGTTTTGCTGGTGTTTACAAAATCACTTGCAGCCACAAAAGGATTTTCTGTGAAGGGGCTATGTGGCGGATGATGCATCAAATGTATGCAGTAAACCTAGGGATGTGTTGCATTTCTGTAAATGGCATGGTAGATGTTTAGTAGCTTAGTTTTTCTTGCTTATTGATGGCTGAAATGACAGACATATATATGCCTACAACGTCTTACTGCAATATACACCAGCATGTAATGTTTCAAAGCCTTTAGAATACATTGACATCTCTTTGCAAAGAAAGAAAACTAAAGCTTTCATGACAAAATCAGCCATATTAAGCTTGTTTCAGTTTTGTTTTTTTCAGATGAAATTTTGGGTGTTTGCTTTCCCTCTTTCACCTCCCTTGAAATGAGAAGATTATGGCATGCATTCAGGAAATTTCTGTGAGAGTAAGCCTTTTAGCTGTCAATCAATATAGCTCTGAGGATGTCAAGGTCACCAGGAAGAAAAAAGCTCCAAATAATAATTAGATGATGTAATTGTCATGACTAGTCTGAATAGCAAAGATGTGTTGGCTTACATTCTGGAATGCATATTAGAAAGTTTTCAGCTAAAAATGTATCTTTATTTCATTGTCAAGAAGAATTTGTATGTGAATCATTGAAGAATGTTAAATTTCCTTTAAGATACATCGAAGTTTTTATGGGGTACTTTCTAATCTCTCCAGGCTATATAGGTGATGTAGATGTAAGATTCCATAGTTTTAACTTTTGTAAAATGCTTTTTGTTTTTTCCTTTTCTTTTTAAAGGTGGCTTTGGAGAGCATGGAAAGTCAAAAAAAAGAGGTGCCCTCTATCAGCTTATAGACAGGATAAGAAGATTTGGCTCTGGTATTGTCACTGTTTAAATTAGCAGTTTGCCTGATGTGATAATGTATCATGAACATTAATGATGATAGTACTTTAACACTTTAAAGCCGTATTACTATTGGCATAAACAAACTATAAGATAAATAGTACAGGAATAATAATGATTAGCTCTTTGTTGCAGTTTCTTAGAGATTTATTTCCAGCATCAAATCTGGAAGCTAAAATATGCAGTTTTAAATCTCAAAAATTACTTAGCCTTTTTCAATAGCTGTGTTCATAGTTATCAGTTCTACTGATATCAGTACAATGTCTTTTCAGTACAGGTAGGCTATGCTGCATAGCTGCTAATTTTATCAGTATTTTTTCTGGACCCAGTTGAGGCATTCTGATAATTCACATTGTGTTTGAAGCATTTATGGCGATGGACAAACACATTTTTATACTAATCATAAACTTGTTAGTATGAACGCAGCTGAATTCAGCTGCCTATGTAAGTGGGATCCCCAGTAATACTGACTGAATTTACTCACCATATTTGATGCGAGGAGATATCACTTCAGTGTCATGAAACTTCAACCTCAAATAGGAAAAACTATGGAACTCCATTATAATCACACCACATTATGCCTAAATGCATCAGTGCATATTTTGCAAGATTAGCCAGAGCACAGTAACTGCCTTTGTATATGTGCTCTGGTATAGAATCTTCATTCTTTTTAAGATAATTGCAATTTTAGTATTGTATAAATACTTGTCATCTTTTGCGTGCAATTTGGCATACATTTCTTCTAGTTTAAAAAAAAATAATTTTGAACAGTAAAACATATATATTAACATGTTATACAGTTCAGTAATGACTGTATATTAAGTGTAAGAATAGTTCTCTGAAGTTTTTACTTGTGTTGTAGACTGTTGTGTAATTCTCATTGACATACTTATTTAATGACAAGGGTAAGTTATTTGCTTTACCTGAGTTTTATTTAAACCCTGAAATGTTCAATATCATTCCAGTAATAACTTATGTGTTAGCTGTTACGAAGGCAGACTTTCCTTCCTGTGTACCAAGAGCTTTCTCCCTGCCTTCTTCTGTAGCTTCTTCCCTTTCTTCCTTTTTCTACTCTCCCAGCCCTGAGGCTATGCCAGGATACCATACCATGATCCTTCCTGGAATCCTCCTTCATTCTGACATAGCCATTAACAGGAAGAGCTGCTATCACAGGGGATACTCATAGAGGGAAGGTGTATTCTTCAATGAGGAATAAGACTTGAACCCCACTGAGTAGGATTTGTTGATTGGCTTTCGAGTGATCTATTTTAATCAGCTGCCCTTCTGAATTGCTTTAGAAGAAACACCTATTGTGGTGTACAAATCCTTGTCTCACTATCCTCATCCTTTCTTTGTCACAGTTAAGTTTCAGCAGATTTGAGAAAGATTTGTAATGGGATGAATGATGGTAACACCTCTGAAAATAGAAGACATAATTTAGTCTTGTGAAGAAATTCCAGCCATGAGTAAAATAGTTATTCATAGCATTCCCAAAGCTCATTTATGAAAAAATTGTATTTGCATCCTGTAGTGTTGTAAAATGAACATCTTTCATCTGAAAATGTATCTAGAGGTAATAGCTTCAGATGCTGGAACTTGGAGAAAGAAATGACCCTCTGACTTTTTCTGTATGTATACAACTTTGCAAATAATTGAGATTCTTTTTGCGTGTAATTCCTGACAATAAAAGCCTATCTGCTACTTTAAGAAATTCTTTCTGTCAAGTGCTTTAAGGGTGATCACACACTTGCTTTTTCCAGATCTTGCAATAAAAATGAAGGAGACAGCGAATGCCTTGATTATTTCGGTTCTGACCAAAGTCTTTCCTCCTTTGCTGAAAAAACCCAAATTAAAAACATAAAAGACCCCCTAAACAAACAAACCAAGCCTAACACAGGGAGTGTGATTAACAAAACACGAAACAAAAAAAAAACACAAACAAAAAAACCCTATTATTAAATAAGAAAATTTAGATGAAATTATGTAATATACCTTCAAGTGGTTAAATATAGATGCAAATAGTTACTGTAGCTATGTTGGAGAAAACAAAAAGACTTAGGCTCTTCATTTTGAGCATGTCTCAGAAAACCAAGTAATGATAGGCTGTTGCATAACAGCAGTCTCCTACTTTTAAAGGGCATAAAGAAATAATCTGACTTTAACCTTCTGGATAACTGTTCCTTTTTTCTTGTGTCTATGATCTCATTCAGTGTTTTAATTATCATTACAGGCTTTGAGCAAAATAATACATCTAAAGGAAGAACTACTGTAAAATTCTCAGGGAAAAATGAGAAAAGCAGATTTCCCAGAGCTGCTACATCACGAACAGAAAGAATATGGCCAGGGGGTGTCATTCCATATGTAATAGGTGGAAATTTCACTGGTAAGCTTTGTGCTTTGGATGGGAAGAAAGAATATGATTTTTTTTTTTAATTGCCTTTTTTTCTTTTTCTTTTTTTTTGTTAATGATTTTTCGGTAAAGTCATGCTGTGGAAGTCAGTAGAAGGGCTCCTGTTGGATCAGGCCTGAAATACATCTGTTCTGAACATATTATTCATACTTCAAAAAGTTGTTCCCAAAGGCAACCTACATAATAAAAATGTATAACTATGTTTCAGAAAGGGAAGGCTCTTTTTCTTTGCCTAATATTTCTCATAGCGTGTTTGTTTTCAAGAGCCTAAGTAACAGAATGTCATGAAATCTGTTTTTTAACAAGTGCAGGATATTTAGCACAAGAATATAACTAATTTAACTTGTGTGACGTATTCTGCTAGAATGATTTCACTCAACAAACTGACTCAAATGTATTTTGTTATTCCTCAGTTTGGTTTTCAGATGGGTACACACAGACATTATATATGACAAGAACAAAGACTGACTGCAAAATAAATATAGTCCTTAGCAGAAAACTGTAGAAAAAGTTTAAAACATTTGTTAACCCTGAAAAATGTAAATGGATCAATATCAATGTGGATGTAAGAGTTAACTTAAAACAAAAAGGGAGGGAGAGAAGCAAAGATGGCTCGGAAAAGATAAATAATAATATTTACTGAGTGCAGTAATAAAGGAAATCAAAAGAAACGTGTAATGCTCACACACTGAATGCCTGTGTATATGGAGAAACCGGTGTCATTCATTTCAAACTGACAGCTACATTCAGACTTTTATTTTGGGTATTTACATAGTACTATACCAAATGTGACCTTTGCATTAGGATTACCATCTTCTGAAATAGTGGTAGGAAACTAAATGAAGCGTATCATATCAAACATTTTACCTTTTTCATAATGAAAGATAAATTCTAAAGCTTGGAAAACATTGCTTAAAGATAAAAGAAAAGGGCAAGATGGGATGAAATAACCTTTAATTTCTAGGATCTGACATGATTTGAACTTGCTAGTTTTATGCACTTAGAGGTTTTGGTTTTTTTTTCAGTTTAAAAAAGTGTGTTTGTTTTAATTATAGTGTGTTGTAACATGCATCTTTTGTAACATGCAAAGTTTGCAAGGTGGATGCATTTCTGCTAGCATATTCATGCCAAATTGTAAAGCTTGTGTATTTCCAGCTCACAAGCAATACAGCTATATTCTCAGGTGCTGCCTCTATGTTAATAAGCCTTGTCTTTTGTTACTCAATGAAATTACATTCCTATACTATCTGAAGTACTGTATAATTACTGGCTTTGTGTTTTATGGTGAGAGCTGGCTTGCCTGCTTCTGCATCGAGCATGTATTTTTGATTGTTTCTAAATGTTTCTCATTTTTTAAAACAATATCTAGGTATGCTTAGTATTGTACCAAATTAATTTACACCTTTTGGTGGATCAGTTGATTTCTGAAAGACCTTGATGTAAAGAAGTGCAGGGTGGTCCTTGGTCAAGAGTGTTATTTAAATCAAATGACTTGTCTAGTGTGCCTGTTTGCATGGCTTAGGTTAAATTGGTCTCCAGATTGCATTTTTTATTTTTTTTTCATCTTCTAGCCAGATAGTCAGGATCCAGAGATCCTCAATTATTTTCCTTTTCTTTCTTTTTTTTTTCAAGCGGCCCACTTCATAATTTCATCTAGGAAATTGCTTAGCAAATATGCTAATACAAGCACGTAAGCAACACTGTATTGTGCTGTCTTCCTCTGGTGTAACATAAATGTGCTTTTAATTAGAGTTTTTATGTTTCCTAGAGTGTGTCAGGTAGTTTTGGTCCCCTTGGAAGCAGATACATTATGACAAGCTGATGGTCTGGTATCCCTTTAATTGTAATCTGGCAGTACATGGGACTGCTGGGACACAGGCCTTCATGATCCAGTGCCTTCTTCCAGGCTTATATTCCTAGTATTGAAATCTGATTTTAAGGAACAAGACACAGTTAGAAAAGTCTCTTATCTCATACAATTATTCTTCTAGGCACCCAGCGCGCCATGTTCAAACAGGCTATGCGGCACTGGGAAAAGTACACGTGTGTTACGTTTATTGAACGAAGCGATGAAGAAAGTTATATTGTATTTACATACAGACCGTGTGGGTAAGTGTGTATGTATGGTAACATACGTGCTTTCAACATTTTGGCATGTTTGTCAGCTTTGAAGTTAAAAGTGAATATGTATTTCACAGGCAAATGAATAGTTACTGCATTTAAATGATACGTGTTCTGCTTGGCTGTAGGTTCAGTGCGAATAGCAACTTTCTAACGTTACACCTCTTTTGTCTATTTCTAGATACAGTGATTCTGGTAGATATGGGATTTTGGTAGAAATGGGAAGTAAAGAATAATTGTGATGGTTCCCTTTCAGTCACAGAGGTAGAAAGCAATGTAAATTTAAATGGAATGTGAAAGATGTAAGTGGTCTCAGGCACTTTAGAAAGAGAAGTGTGGGGATATCTACAGAGGTCTTGGTTTTGTGAAAAGTAAACAACTTCAAAGTGCCCAAAGTCAAATGATGGAAAATCTCTCCAGCCAAAGCATTGTTCCTTAGGCTGGTTGATGCGTCATGCAATCAAATCACTTTAGGGTGAAGGCTGGGTTAGAACCAATACTCGGTGTCTACTTTCAAAGTCACCATTATCTTTTACAGTTGATGTTTTATTCATGGGTACTTCACAAATTACAAATAATTTACAAAGGCTGTAACAAGTTAGAAATAAAAACAAAGTAGAATGTGGCTATGTGAATAGTTCACCAGTGATGAAAAAAAAAATCAGGCTAAACAGAAAGGTCAGTTGAATGACTTTTTGGGAGGTCCTGAATCCATAAGCCATTTCACAAAGAGCCAGATAAATAAGAATGTATCTTCTCTGGGTGAATAGGAGCCATTGTGCACTAACCATCGGCATACAGTGCTGATGCAGGATTTTCCATGGAAAGAGCCCAGACAAAAGTGACACCAAACCATCTGCAAACACTTTCTGCTGCATGGCCAGTCGTATTGAAATTAATCTTGGTTCTTTCCCATAGCACCCTGCTGTGTTGGTTTGTTAGCACATTGTGTCATTATTGTTTCCAGTACCATGGCAGCTAACGTTCACAGATGAGGGAGACTTTATTGTACTTAGCACTGTTTAAATTAAAAACTAAATTATAAACCTTGCCCCAAAGAGCACACAGTCAAAACATAACACATTTAATGAAACAGCAAGTGGATGCAGTCATATATGTAGAAATTCAGGTGGCAAGATCTGAAAATGTCTCAGATAACAGCATTAGTACACTAGCAAGTGAAGTGTGATTAAGCCTTTGAAATATTAAGGATATTTTCAAGGAGTGTAATGCATTACTTCTTGCAGCAGTTCATGGGAAGCTCATCCGAGAAGGGCAGTGATGAAAAAGCGTGTTTGAAATACTCTTAAATGTTCATATATCAGAAATGAATGAGAAATGTTCTGATTACCGTAGTCACATAGAACTGTGAAGGGATCTCAGAAAGGTGTCTAATGTATTCTTAAGACAAACAGCTATACCTAAGTTACTGCTGATACATGCTTGTCCAATTTGTTTCTAAAACCCGCAAAAAATGAATACTTCATGGCTTCTTAGGAAATGTATCGCTTCACTGTCCTTAAAATAAGAAATGTAGGAAGTTGGGGCAGTATTTTTGGTCATAGCTAAACCAGATATTTCTTGCTGCAACTTTAGCTTTTTTTCCCTGCTCACCATGGCCATAGAAAATAAATTATTCCTCTTTCTTTTTCAAAGGTATCTATTACATACTTTGTTATTATGTCCAGTCTCAGTTTCTTTTTCTTTTAGAATAGAAAACACCTAATTAATTTAATCTTTCCTGGTAAATTGTGTTTTTTAGGCCTTTGATCACATAGTTATTCTCTTTGGGATTCTTTCCCGCTAGTCCACATCTTCCTTGAAATTGAGGACCTAAAACTAGAGCATGTTTGTTCAGAAGAACCACTACTTCTGCTAAGCCAGTGCTAGAGTTAATTCATAGATCCTGTAGTCTCTCTTTCCACTTGGGTACCTAAGCATGATGCCTCCCTGTTTCTCAACAGCTGCCACATTTGACTTGTGGTCTATTGGGATATGACTCCAAATTCTTCAGTGAGAAAAGCCAGAATTCTTTCCACAGCACTGATACCCCACCACTGGTTCCATCATGTGCCATGCTTTGCATGTGGTGTCTCAGGACACCAAAAAATTCTGTGTTTCCCTTTTCAGATCTCTTACCTGTTAAAGTTATTATCAGTTCCAGGTTTGTCTTCATGCTGTTTTTCCATACTGCAAGTTTAAAGAGCATCTTCTCTGTCTTCACTTCATATAATATTCCAGGCATCTTTATAGCCACCCCTTTCTATTAGGGTTCTCTATTTTACCTATTGGAAGCTTGTGTGGAAAACTGCCTAAAACTTTACAGCTGGATCCCTTTTCACATCAGAATAATTTGATTTGTTGCAGTCTAAATCTATAATTATTTGTCAACATGTCGTGTTTATTTAACCTGATTTTGAGAATGGCTAATTATTGAAGTACTGTTTCTTAGTACAGCTGAAACAGTTGGTAGTTTGAAATTTCATAATTACTCATACTCATTTGTACCCATTAGCTGCAGATGTGAGAATAAGAATATAATGTTAAGATATTAGTGTTTATGATTCTTCTACCAAAGCATTAATATCTATTACAGCAAATATTTATGCAAATAGTTGATCAGGGCAAATAAAACTGATCTGTGAAGAGGTTCAAAACGCTTTTTGTTCACTACTTCTTCTCTACCCTTATGTTTCTTGCTGTTAGATAGGAAGTGCCTGAAGACACAGTCAATATACATCTCTATGCAAAGCCAAAAAGGGGGCAGCAAGCTGGGTTATAAATATTACTGAGTACAAGATCAAGCTTCTTTTTTTTTATACAGTGAAATAAAAAAAAAAAAGAGCAATAAGTCATATTGTACTGGCATCTCAGCATGCCTTTGATCTGACTTTGGGGAAATTTTTGTTCTCTTAAGTACTAAAGACTGAAGTACTTTTTATGACAAACTTTAGATGACTTATTACAATCGTTACTGTATCCACTCACATGGGTGTTTGACAAAGCTGTCCGAGATACAGAAAAGTCAAATATCTGTCATGTTCTTCCCCAAACATGTAGACTAAACAGCTTCTGAATCTTTTAATGCTGTTTTGAGCTTAATGGTGTATTAAATAGACATTACAGGCAAGCTTTTTAAGTTGGTGAAACAGGTAAAGTTATTGCCCGAGGTACAGTTTTGCAGCATTCTTTAGCTTTAAGAAGGATTACATGTTATAAAAGGTGCTCAATCACTTTTATGGAATGAGAAGAAATTCAGGGTTGTGCTAAATACAGGTGGGCTGACTCGTTCTCAGGTGGTAATTAACTCGAGCAGCTGGTGCTCTTCCTGCCTACAGCAGTTGGCACAGCTTCTCTGCTGGTGGTGGCATGGCCTGCAGGATGGGTGTGGCGGAGGCACAGGTAATCGGTTGCCAAAACCCAGTGCATTAACATAAACTCAGTGAGTGGTGATTTACGTTAATGCACTAGGATAGGCAGCTGTTGACTGGGGGGTGGATTCAGTTGGCTCTTCTTTATGTAGTGTTGAGGTGGTCATCCCCATTGAGCAGGTGAAGAAGCAGTAGCTGCTTCTGCCAACACAACAGGGTTTCTTAGAGCAGTGAATTGGGACTTTTAGTAACCATGATTGCATTGATCCCTGAAAAATAAGTACATTCATCAAGCCAGGTCATAGCTGATATCTCCTTTTTGTGGAATGAGTTATACTTGTGACTGAGAGGTGTTGGTTTTTTTTGCCAAGAAAAAAAAAATCAGGTTCTTCAGTGAGATTTTTTGAAAGAATTTTCTGAACTTCTTTCTCTTGCATTGAGTAACATGTAGGTGATGATATGCAGCCCTAGTATGTTTATGAAGTTCTGTAGTTTTCCATAGCTTCATACAGTCAGTGCCATGGAAAGCTGATGTTATGATTTATGAGGATTCTTTTATATTGTTACATTCTGAAGAGTGCAGCTGTTAAAAAAGTACTACATTGACCCTACCCAATTCTTTCTTCTTTAATATTAATTTAAGAGTATTTTTGACAGTAGCTGCGAAATAGTATTACTTAAAAGAGTGTATTGTTCCAGTCGCTTCATTTTCTGTCATTTTTTTTTTCTCTTTGCTTGCCATCATTGATTAGCTAGACTGATTAAGTGGAATTAGAGATTCATAAATAGTTACTGTCTCCAACTGCTGTCTGGTGCAATAAAGATTAAAGAGATGAGGAGCTTTAAAAGCTGCCAGTTGACTCAATTTAAAGGGAAAGACAGGTGCTTATACAGCACAGAGAGGTCTTGGTCTTTTGCCAAACACACCTGCGGTCAAACCCATGATATTATGAAATAATTTATACCATAGATGTATTAATTTAGTGTTCTTTACATTTTGACTGGGTGCAATTGTGGAAGTGATCAGAATATTCTAGATTAATTGAATGAATCTGGTGTGCTTGACATGACTTTCACCCCAGCAAATCCTAAGGACTCTATGAGTGTGCACTGCTGCAATTTTGTTAATGTTAATGTTGATTTTCTTCAACAAGGAAAGAAATACTCAATGAATGTGTGTATAATTGCTGGGAAGTACTTGAAATCTGTCAAGTAACCAGTGTTAAAGGAATTACCATACTCATCTGACTGCTTGTTTTTAGGAGTAGGCCAGTATTAAAATAACTCTGACTGTGTTGGGGTTTAGGTGTTCAGTATTAGACAACCTAGGGAAATACTATGTAAAAGATTGCATTTAATTTTTTTTCTTCTGAAAAGAAAACATCTTTCAAATATGTCACTGAAATGCTCACCTTCTCTTGGTATTTTCATGACTATAATAGTAAAATGTGAAATTATTTTTGTAAGCACCTAAAAATCTTACCATCTATGAAAAACCACTAAAAACTTTCAGAGGTGATCATAAGAACCTCTGGTTTTGAGTAAACAAGCAACTTTTTGATATTGTTACTTGTATTTGGTAAACTGGTTATTTACCATGTTTTCTTATAAAACCAAATTGTCTTAAGAGCTTTATGTGTTATACTAGACATTTTGTTGTTCTGCTATTATTGCTTAGCTATTGCCTGACCTTTTCCAAGACACAGGGCACAGTCTTAAAAGGTTAAATCCTCTTTTGGTCCAAATGAAGTAAAAAGGACAGGAAGAGAGAGACTGTAGTTAGAATTTTGTTGTTTTGTTGTTTTTTTTTTTTCCCTTCCTGTGAATAGTGTCAGTAAAAGCAGAGCTGGAGACATTGCAGAGGGTACTGTATTTTCCAGTTTTTCCTTCTTCTCTAGTTGTCTCCAAAGTGTCACTGTGCACAAATTATATTGACAATCTATGGAATTTTTAAGCCACCAAATATGTCTTTGCTAGCTGTCTGGATTTCACCTAGGATGGAGTTGAAGCATATAACATACATAAAATCAATAATACAAGCATGTTCAAACTAATGAAATTGTATTAGGTATTCTACAACCTACAGTCTTAATAACATATTGATTTGCTTTAAGCTATAAATAATGCTTAATGTTCTTTAGTTCTGCATTGCAATATTTCTTTATAGCGTTTCCAAGCAGTGGTAAACGGGAAGACTGAGCAGATGTTTTTAAACTGTTTTAAACTAAAGAGTCTGTTCTGCTTTTTCGTAATATTGCATGGTTATCCTAACTTTATTCTTATCAATCTTTCTTGCACTGCTACTATGTGTTGTATTCACATCATAAAGGTTTTGAAGTTATCCCCAAGGTATATTTTTCAGGACTATAGATGAAAGGAAAACTAGATAAGTTAAAATTGGATGTGTGGTTGGGCTTGGAGGGTTGTGGTTAAAAGCTTGGACTCACACTGTTACTGAAAGTGTAGTATCACAAAGGCCTATCCCGGGACCTGTCCTGTTTAGTCTTTATCAATGACCCAAAAAGAAGCGATGGCATGTGCTCTCATCAGCTTTGCAGATGTTGGGTGGAGGGACCAGATGATAGGCTAAATGGAACTCTAATATGAAAAAGGTGACATGCTGACCAGAATGTGGATTACTTAATTTGGTTGATTCTTATGTTTTCTACCATGGTTTCCTTTAGACAGCTAAGGCAAATGCCACATCCTCCTTACTTCAGAGTGTTCAAAGATAGGATGCAGTGTTTTCTAAAAGATTTGAAGTCTGGGACCTAGGAACTCTGATAAACTTATTCAGTGTACATAATGTCTATGACAGTGAATTGGGAATTCTATACTGAGAAGATCTTCAATGGGTTTTTAAATAAATGAACTTTTCTGAATGAAGAGTTACTGAAAATTCTGCCTTTTGCTCTAAGTGTGTACTCCAGCATTCCCTCTCTAAATGGATGGGACAGTAAATAACACTGTGAGGGAGGGTTTAAAAAATCAACAAAACATGCCAACCTTCTTAAGATTCCAAACTATTTTCTCACTTGGGTGAGCACAAGTGACTAAGAGAGTGTATGAACTATGATAGTTTCCTTATTGCACAATAGACACATATTTAAATAGTTCAGTGACTACTGGCAGATAAAACCCAGGTAAAATTGATCTTGAGAATATCTGTAGTGCTTGAATTATGTTTACATATTCACGTGTAGTCATAATATTTATTCTACAAACATGCAGTCTGAAAATATATCAAGCAAAACCATGTCAGCGTGTCAGGCGCAAAGGTGAAATCCACTGTGGAATCAGGAGATAAAATGGTGTAACTGTTCTAAATGTATATTTTAATCTTATTTCTACTATCTGTTGCTCCTTTACATCACTTATGCTGTATTTTAGGGCACATCTTAAGGTATTTTTTCCCATTACTGTTATTTATATCAGTGTTCACGGTAATATTTCTATATCATAAATATTATAAGTAGTAATTTTGTGTTCATACTGTTTATGTAGAGTGAGGGAAATACACAGACCAATACACAGGTGTTCTTTATTTTTTTTTACTGTGTTCTGTGACAGTAGTACTTCAACCTGCAACCTTGACAATAGCACAGAGTTATAACAGGGAGTCTAAATTGCCATTGTTTTTATTTACCTGCCTTGAAGTGAGCTATCAAGGGAAGAAACCTTAAGAAATTAATTAAACATGGCATTGCACAACTCTAGCTGAAGCACTGAGCCTAATTCAATGCTTTGACCTAAAAAGGTGATTCATACCTATCCTTGGAACTAACCAAAGCACAAAGAAATCGGTTAACTTGTTTTGAGTGTGGAATACTTGGGAAGCAGTTGAGAGAGCAAGGAATGATTGTAATGTAAACAATAATTTTTCTGAACAGTATTTTCAAGCTTCAGAATTCTTGATACAACCCTCCTAGGCTGCCGTTATACATTCTTCGATAAAGTAACTTGTGTAGCCTTTATAATTTTAAGATATTACTATAGTTTTTTGGTGTATCTATCCTTGATTTTAACCATTAGTGCAAAGCCAGTGTATGCTTTACTAAGAACAGGAATCGTGAGCTGAAATTCCATGGCTGTACTTCTCTAATAGTCATATTTTAAAACTCTAGTTGTATTAGACTAACAAAAATCAATGAAGGAGACCAACCAGGACAGACACACAAAAATTAAAAGTCTCTTTGCCACCATAAAACCTGAAATATAGGCCAATGATGGCTGTAGAATTTCATCTGCTATCAGTATTGTTCCCATAGCTGCTCTTCTTTTATTGCCCACAGAGGCATATGGAGGATGGGATCATTTTCCACACTAGCATCATTTTCCACACTCCTCAAGGACCAAATATGTTGTGCCGTGGAAATGTTGCCTCCGAAAACGTGGGGTTTTGTATTGTTTTGTTTGGTTGGTTTGTTTGTTTTTAAAGGGGGAGAAGGAGGATGTAATCTACTCAGTAAAATTACATTCCACCTGACAGACTGCAGAATTTACAGAGCAGATATGGGAAATCAGGGTTTTACTAGGGAATATAATGAAGTCATGAAATATTTAAATCTTTAGAGGTGACAACGAATCAGCCTGTGAAACCTGAAGTTGTCTTCCATTTTGGCAGGATATGCTTTACTCTCCTTTGTCTCCTTTTGCTTGCAGAGTCAGCAGACTTTTTTTTTCCTAACCAAAAAAGCATACATCTTGGATAAATGCTGACAGTGTGAATGCTGAAAAAGGCATCTCTGTTCCATAAGTTTACATTGGAATCATGGAAGTACAGTGAAACAGGAATGAAACATGAGAGCAGTTGTGAAGCAGGGTTTTTTGGGGGTTGTTTGTATTGGGTTTTTTTTTTTGCGCAAATACAACTTTCTGGGACTGAGGTTCCTATTGCAAGAAAACAGGAGTGGGGTCAAAAAATGGTTTGCATGTATTCAGAGCATTCAGCCTCATATTGTTTTTGCAAAAGATATTGTACATCCACCATAGTTAGAGAAATAAAAAGAAATGGAAAGGGTTTTCAAAGTGTCATCACAGTATTTTACATCTCATTCAACATGCCTTCCATCTGTATTTTCAACTGCATGCAAATTTAGTATTTTAAAGGACTACTTGCATCACTTCTGCACCCTTTATAGATGGAACTAATGAAGTAGGGTGACTTTTCCATTCAAAATAAATCAAATTTATCAGATCTGAGTGAGCCAAGAGTCTGGTGAGTGTTGTCAAGCTGTGAGGTATGGCACAGAAGAAACCTTGTCTTTACTTATTCTTTCTGCTTCCCTCTGCATGGTGATTTTTTTAATATAATATTTTCTCATGTTTTAAAAATTTCTTATAGGGTTTGTAGACGCATGTATGGAAACTGTCATCTGTGTTTGTGTTTTAATTACAGGTGCTGTTCTTATGTGGGTCGAAGGGGAAATGGCCCTCAGGCTATATCTATTGGCAAGAACTGTGATAAATTTGGTATAGTTGTCCATGAGTTGGGTCATGTGATAGGTTTTTGGCACGAACATACACGACCAGACCGTGATGACCATGTCACCATCATTAGAGAAAACATCCAGCCTGGTGAGATATTCTGATAATTATGGTGGGGGCTTTTATTGTGTGTGGGGGAACAACCCAACCAAACCTGTTTATTTTTGGTGTTTCCTTCATCTGCTCAACTCCCTTAAATCTGAGTGCCGAATAGCAGAAATTAACTGAACAGCAAATGAGCATGTCTGCCTGCTATTCCTCTTAGCTAGACTGTTCTCAGCTGATTATAAATGAAATACTGAGACTAAAATACTGTCTTTTCTAATGATCTGGCCAAGTAGCAAGGCATTAAGTAGTACTGGCTAGAAGGAGAGAAATAGTAATCATGCTCAAAACTTTGAAGGAACACCTTTAAAAGTCATGTTTCTGTGCTTGAGAAAGGGCTTTTCTTTCTTAGTCTTTACTGAATTATAAGTACAAACATATCAATAGCTTTTTAGTTGCCCAAGAGGTTTAGACCTGAAAGGTAAGCTGAGGACTTTGTAACAAAGATGGGTGGTGTTCCCATGGTTTCTACATTACTTGTTGCTTATAGAGCTTGCAGCTTTACCCAGTGGCTTAGGTGCTGCTGAGATAAAGCATCTGAGGAACGTAAGAACTTTAAAGTGTGACTCATCTCTTTGTCAGTCTAGCTGCTGTGCCCATATTTTTGTTGTGTGAGCAAGATGGGAAACAACCTAGCATGTTCATTTTCAATGTTCATAAACGTGCACGGTCTTTATGAAATACTGTTTCTGACTTACGAAAATTCTCTGCACAAGAAGGAGGGAAATCAGAAATTGCCCAATGATAGCTTGGAGTATTTGTCTGTTCCTATAGAAAATGTTTTAAAACAAAATAGACATGAGATGCAATAAATCTTTGCCACCACAACTGGGACTTGGAAGGTGACTCACAGTTGATACACACTCCCACAAGTCTCAGATGTCCTGAAAGGACATGTGCATTCAAGCCTTCCTTCTGTTCTCTATGTGTCATTGACTTGTGTACATGCTATAAATGCATTTTTCTGTGGTGGGGAAAATCAGCTGGAGTGCCATACTCAGCCTCCTGTTCTCTCCTTTCAGTTGTCTCTCTAGTTTCTGGATTTAACCACCTCTTGTGGTGCGGCCTGAGTTTGAGGATCACTAAATGGGATCAGGAAGTCATGACCACAATACATTTGGATTCTGTTGTTATGCAAATTATGTTGTTTAATGATGTTAGTCCCACTGCAGAATTTTGCAGGATATGAATGGGAATATGAATTGGAGTAAGCGGTTCTTTGCATCTCTCACTACAGTGATTAGGACAAAGATTTTCTGGTCTGGAATTATGAACTAAGTATAATTCTTCTGCTGTTGTTAAATTGCAACAGCTGACTCTTGAATATATGACTTTGTAGTGTTTGTATTATATGGGGGCTCAGAGAGTAGCCTTTGCTATAGCAAAGTCTCTTTAATTTAATATCCAGTCTAATGAGTCTACAGTGAAGAGGGCTCTTCCAGATTCTGCTGTCAAAAGAAATTTCTTTCTGGAATTAAGAACAAAGTCAGCAAATTTTATGGATTCTGTGTGAAGCACAATATAATGTGTTGGGCCTTTACATAGGTTAGATGAATGACAATAGTCTTTCTAAATGCCAAATATGGAAATTTGATGTGTATTTCAGAAGACATGTCTGGCTAATAAAATCACACAGTTACTTCCAAATGGATAAGATTTATGAATGATTAATGAATTATTAGATTAGGATCTTCGTTGCTTGGTGTTATCTGTACAAAAAGAAGATATTAAACAAACTTTCAATTATCAATCATTCATAGGTCAAGAATACAACTTCTTGAAGATGGAGCCTGGAGAGGTGAACTCCCTTGGGGAACCTTATGACTTTGACAGCATAATGCACTATGCCAGGAACACCTTCTCAAGGTTGGAGTCTCAGGTTATACCTTTTGACTTTTAATTCTATTCCTGTCTGTGAATGCTAAGAACTATGCTTTTTAAGTATCCTGAAATTGCTTAAAATATCCCGTGTGATATCGTATTCTTAGAGCAGTCAAAGGACAGCTTGTTTATTTTAAGTCAGAATAATCTAATTATATCTTTAAACACATTTTGTTTCTGTTCAGTTTCAAAGGAGCCTTTTGATCTTGCTTCAGTTTTTTTAGATTTTAAGACAAGATAGTCTGGAAACATCGTTTCCTGCTAATACTTTCTTATTGTCTCAACAAAAAGTTGAATTCAGAAAAACCAAATAATTGAAATGGTTGAGGATTTCTTCTCTATTGTTTGTACAGACTATTACTGTCATCCAACCCATATAATAAAGAGTTCTGCTGTCTTTGCTCTGGCCTGTTGCAGGCTGATCCATTCTCTGTTCCATAGTACCTCACATGGGGCTTCATCTGAAACTCTGCATGGTTGTGGGAGCTATAGAATGAGCTGCTCACATAGGCTAGCCCTACTCTGGAGAAGTGAAGGTGGAGTCTTTCACCTGGCCTTCTGTTACATTTCATACCAAGTTGCAGTTCACCTGATTACTTTCTAAAAATACCAGAGAAATGTAAATTAAAAGAAACCTAAAAGGAAAAAAAAAAAGGCAAAAAAGAAAAGACCAAAACTAACAAAATTTGCTAGTTTTAAAAGATATATCCTTAGCTTTTTTCATCCAATTTATGCATTTGAAGGTAAAAAATACTAGACAGTCTAAGACTCTGAAGTAAACTGAAGACCACCAGAAATCTCACCAGCCTTTGCAAATGCTTTGAGCTTGTTCACCTAAATATAAATGATATTATTAAAAAAAAAAAAAAAAGTAAAAAGCTTACCAAAGGATGTATTCAACATGCTCTTCCAGGGTGAATTATGTGTAAGGGAATGAGCAGCATGAGCTAGATATTAGTCTCATTGCTTAATCCAGGTACAGATGCCATTACCTTAAGGAAGAGATTATACTAATCTATATAAAATACAGTAATTAAATAAGCTGGAACCCCCCCAGAGTCCTAGGGCAATGACAACATCAAGATAATTTAATTTGTGGGCCCTGATCTCACCACTTTCAAGCTGGCAAAAACTGATAGTGCCATGAGTAGGCATGCCTTGCCCCAAGGCACAAGAGGTTGTTACTTCATACTGTTTAAAACCAACCAGCAAACCCTTGAGGTCACATATTGATTTGCACCGATTTATCTTGAACACATAAGTCATGCTCACTATGGCATATTGCCAGCTGTTTGTTAGACTTTATTCACCCAGATAAGTAGTAGAACTCACAAAACATCATAAAATTCTAGTCATGCACAGTGATGTTGTTCATGTGGTATTAAAAGTGTAACAGATTATTCCCTTATTAAAGTGCTAAGTCATTTAAGGGAGGATTGGTTGGTTGGTTAGTTGGTTGTTTTCTTTAAGTATTAATAGCATCAGTTTCAGGTTGTACTAAAAATCGGTGGTGTGCTGGTTTAAGCCCAATTCACAACTAAGTACCAAGCTGCCACTCGCTCAACTCCCCCCTTCCCTGGGAGATGGGGAGGAGAATCAGAAGAAGGTAAAACCATCAGGTTGAGATAAGAACAGTTTAATAATTGAAATAAAGTGAAATGTAATAATAGCATCAATAATAATAATAGTAAGGAAAAGCAAAGAGAGGAATAAACCACAAGAAAAACAAGTGATGCACAATAAAATTGCTCACCAAACACTGACTGTTGCCCATCCCATCCCCAAACAGTAATTAACCCCTCCCAGCCAACTCCCCCCAGTTTATGTACTGAGCATGTTGTTCTGTGCAATGGAATATCCCTTTGGCTAGTTCAGGTCAGCTGTTCTGGCTCCGCTCCCTCACAGCTTCTCGTGCCCCTCCTCACTGGCACAGCATGAGAAACTAGAGCCCTTGATCAGAACAAAGGCTGGCAAATGTCCCTAACTTTTGCTCTCTTTACATGTGTAATTCAGATTTGAAGACTTCCCTTAAAACCTTTATAAGGAATAGTAACTCTGTGATTAAGAATTCTGTGATAGGGCCTAATGTATGTATTTATTCTATAATTTTATAATTAATTTTTTTCAATGTAGTGACAGCTTAACAGCAGTGCTTTTTTCCTGTGTAGTCTTCAAGCAAAGAATCTTAGAATAGCAGATTGAAAGAGACCTCAAGGATTATCTGGTCCAGTCTTTCTAGGCAATGCATGAATAGAGGTCCCAGCACCCTGTCCAGCCAGACTTTAAAAGTGCCCAGTGTTAGGGAATCCACCACTTCGCTGGGGAGATTATTCCAGTGGCTGGTTGCTCTCATTGTGAAAAATTTTCCTCATGTCCAGTCTTAACAATAGAAAGAGATTTCCCTCCTGTTGTCTAACAGAAATATAAAAGCTGATGTGTTAATTATGTACTGAAAGAAGATTCTTTTTTGATAACTTTGCGTAAAATTTCCCAACCTGTGGAATTTCTATGACATTTTCTGTGTTTAAAGTTTTACTGTCTTATTTATGCCAGATGTAAACTTTAGATTTACAAAATAGCATTATACATTCATAAAACTCAGTTTTATGACAGAAACCTGATAGGGGGTTTTGGGGTCTATTTTTATTTTTATTTTTTTTAGGGGCATGTTTCTGGATACCATTCTCCCTTCCCGTGATGATAATGGTATACGACCTGCCATTGGCCAGCGTACTCGTCTAAGTAAAGGAGATATTGCACAGGCAAGAAAGCTGTATAGATGTCCAGGTATTGCACCACAAACAAACAAAACCCACATACTAGCAACTGTTTAACTTGTTCAAGAGGAACAATAAATTTTTTGAGTCAGCTGCTCAGTAGTTTGCTTTCATGTTGGCAACTGATGTAGGCAGTTCAAGAACTGAATCATAAAAAAATCTTACAGATAAGGTCTCTGGAATGCAAGACACTTAAGGACAGATAAATTGCATGAAACCACACTTAGTTCCATGACGTTTCAGTCTTTTTTTTACTTAGCTGTTCAATGACTAAAAAAAAAACCGAAAAGTTTAATGTCGTTTCTGGATTGCATATTGACTGGGCCCTTATTTGAATTTAAGTAAAGTGCAGAAGAAGTAAATTAAATTATTGCAGTGAGCTAAAACATTATATTTTTTGAAAATTTGGCAAATAACAAGCCAGGACAACTAAGTTCTAAAGTCTTTTATGGATTATCTGCTTAATATTGTTACAAAATTTCTACAGTCTTAACAGATACATTTAGTATTTTAATATGTTCTGCGTAATTCTAGTATCCTATAATTTCAATGCATGTTAATGTTTCATCTTAAAACAATGTTGGGGTAGAGTTACTGTCTCGGAGACATCAGTGGCAAGCCTGGAGTAATCTGGAGTCAACCCTGTGCTTCTTGCTCTTCTCTAGTGCTAGTTCTTTAAATGTTGGCAGAGGGGTGGGAATCTCAAAGCAAAAGGTTTTACTTTCCTTGCTATACTTGTGGCTGATACCAGTTTTAATACTTGGTGTCAATCAAAGCAGTTCAGAAGTGCCATCCCTCAGCCAGAATTAGTGAGCAAGGTCCTTGTGGGAGGCTAGACTTAAGAGCTCTGTGCCACATAGGTTACAGCCATCCTGCTCCTCATGGGAATTGATGAAGTCTCAGTAACTGTTTTAAGTCAGATATATGGCTACTCTTTACCACCTGATCAATACAAAAGGACTAAAAAGAGAGATCAGGACTGAAGTGATGGAGCTGCTTCAAATTTGTATCAGCAGCAGTGGGATCTGCTGAAGATCTGGGGCATGTGATGTGCATTTGATGTACACTGTACAGCTGAAATATGTTTTTCCTTTGTGCTGTAAGTACACTGAATCATAACCTATATATAATGAGAACATGCACAGTGCCTCTGGGCCTACCAGAGGAGAAAACACTTGAACATATTTTCTTTTAACAGTTGTTCCTTTTGGAATAATTTTTGCTCTTTCCTTTTTGTACAGGAGGTATTTGAACAATGTCATTCTTCTTGGCAGTATTATTTCTATTAAGAGTATACAGAGAGCAACAATTTCATAAATACAGAGCATACATTCATATTTTGATAAAAGACAAATATTGGAGGCAAAAATAGTCTATAGAATTAAAACTGAGAAGTCGCTAGTATCTTATGATCACATTGATATCTTTAAGATAGGGGGAAAAAAAGCAGCCTAGGCTGTTTAGTGCAAATATAATACTCTAACATGCACTTTCAGTCAACTGAAAAAGATGCAGTATGCATTTTGACCTAATGTTCAAAAGTTGTTCAGAGAAAATGTCCTTTTCATATAATTCATTAAAATGTGTAATGATGAGTTATTATTTCTTTCAACGCTTGAAAGTCTTGTTGAAATCTAGTTTCGCAGTGTTGAAAACCCATGGTTGTTCAGCTTTAATGTGGACTTAAAAGTAAGCTATTTTTTTTCAGCACTTGTGAACAGTAGTCAGAAGGATAAAAAAAAAGAATGGTGGTTGCAGGATCATGCTCCTTTTCTGACTCTTCCCTTCGACAAACTTTGGGATGTAAGACATTGATTTTCTAGCCTTACATAAATGAGCCAGTCCGTAAAAGAAAGTGATTTTTAAAAGAGAGAAAAAGTCAAAAGATTTTTTTTATGAATTGTAAAAAGCACACTAGTTACCATGATATTTTTTTTGGTTAATATTTTTAATAGAAGCTGAATAACTGAATAATATGGCACAAACTTAAACATCCAATAGAGAAAGCAACTCTGTGAAAGTTGCAAAGTACTTGTGGTATAATATATTTTCCAGGGAATAATGAGATTGAAAATTCAGATGTAAAGCTTTTGGTTTTATGAAAAGAATCATGTGATCACTGTAGTATATAGCAGTAAAATCGCTGACACTGTGTTGGTTTTGGAGGTGTGCTGTATTTCCTGTTTCAGACAAAAATTGTTAATCATGATGCGTGCTTATGATAAAAGAGCAGTGAATATTTCAAAGTTAGTAACATCATCATTGTTTCATGTGTTCACTTGTGTTGCCTTAAATGTATGTTGTGGTTTAAAACCAGCCAGCAACTAAGTAACATGTAGCTGCTCACTTACTCCTCACCTCCTCTACCCCTAGTGGGATGGGAAGGAGAATCGGAAAAAGGTAAAAATCAGGGGTTGAGATAAGAACAAATTAATAATTGGAATAAAGTAAAATAGAATAATAACAATAACAAAATAGGAAAAAGAGAGAGAGAAACAATCCCCGAGAAACCCAGGTGATGCACGATACAATTGCTCACCAACCACTGACCGATCCTCAGCCCAACCCGAGCGGTGACCAGTCCCTTCCATGTGACTCCCCTCAGTTTGGAATACCTCTTTGGCTAGTTTGGGTGAGGTGTCCTGTCTCTACTTCCCAGCTTCTTGTGCCCCTCCTCACTGGCAGAGCATGAGACTGGAAAGTCCTTGATTAGGGTAAGAATTACTTAGCAACAACTGAAAACATCGGTGTGTTATCAGCATTGTTCTCACACTAGATCCAAACTGCACCACTGTACCAGTTTTCTGTCACTTCTGAATCACAGCACAATGCAATGTGACAAAAGTACAGAAAACAGTAACTTAAATAAATGAGTGTTTTATGGAGATTCACAGTTCTTTGATAAAGGATTTTATGGCACTGTGCATGTCTTGTTTGGAATTCTAGTTATTCCTGCAAGCAGTTTCTGGTTCAAGAAGCTGGATGCATTTTCTGGGGCCTGTGACCATGAAGTTGAGCACAGAGCTGCTGGAGCATACAGCTGATCTTCACAGCAGTGAGGCAGCTGAGCCTTCCAGGTTGTTTTAGCTAGTCAGGATATTCAGGGTTATTATTCAGGAAAGGGTTTAGTTACTGAAAAAAAAAAACAAACCAACATATTTTGAGCTTGATGAAGCCAAGGCATGAGATTTGATAACCTGTTTTTCATCAGCTGAGTGAGTGCCAGGACTCAACAAACTAGCAAAAGCAATGTTGGTTTGGTTTTGACTTTTGCTTAGAATTTTGTCAAAAGAAAAAACATTACTGCTACATTTTAACAGTGACTAATGTTCCACAATGATTAATAAGGAGAAAGCAAGCAACTAAGTTGAGTTCCCTTCCTCTGCCAATCTGATTTTGAATTTTGACTGTCCTGGCATTTGAGAACAGGTCTTGAACTTCAAGGCTGGGTGTATTACAGTGATTTTCAGACTGTCTAATGGAGTAATAGAATATGTTTTATTCTGGTGTAGCTACTAAAATTTCAACATGTCTGTTTTTATATAGAAATTATAGTTGATTTAAAATTCCTGTGCAATTTTATAGGAGCAGGAGAATAGGGGAGATGACCAAGCTCTGTGGTGTGGTTGATATGCTGGAGGGATATGCCATCCAGAGGGACCTTGACAGGCTCGAGAGGAGGGCCAGCACAAACCACATGAAGTTCATCAAGACCAAGTGCAAGGTCCTGTGCCTGGGCCAGGGCAATCCCAAGCTCAAGTAGAGGCTGGGTAGAGAATAGATTCGGAGCAGCCCTGAGGAGAAGGACTTAGGGGTGCTGTTGACAAGAAGCTCAACATGAGCCGGCAGTGTGCACTCACAGCCCAGAAAGCCAGCTGTGTACTGTGCTGAATAAAAAGAATCATGACCACCAGGTCAAGGCAGGTGATTCTCCCACTCTCTTCTGCTTTTGTGAGACCCCACTGCAGTACTGTGTCCAGCTCTGGGGCCCCCAACACAAGAAGGATGTAGAGCTGTTTGAGCAAGACCAGAAGAGGCCGCAAAGATGCTCAGAGGGGTGGAGTACCTCTGCTATGGAGACAGGCTGAGAGAGCTGCGTTTGTTCTTCTGAAGAAGAGAAGGCTTACAGTACCTAAAGGAGGCCCACAAGAAATCTGGAGAGAGGCTTTTTACAAGGGTGTGTAGTGACAGGACAAGGGAGAATGGCTTTAACGTGAAAGAGGGAAATTTAGATTAGGAAAAAGTTATTTACCGTGGGGGATGGTGAGGCACTGGCACAGGTTGCCCAGAGAAGCTGTGGCTGCCCCATCCCTGGAGCTGTTCAAGGCCAGGCTGGATGGAGCTTTGAGCAACCTGGTCTAGTAGAAGGCATCCCTGCCCATGTCAGTGGAATTGGAACTAGATAAACTTTAAGGTCCCTTCCAGCCCTAACCATTCGATGATGAAGTAGGATACTCTTAGGCAGAACAGACAAGAAATAAGTGAGTAGAGTGGGACTGAGTAGATGGGAAAGGAGGCTCACACTGGCAGGAGAGGGCTGTTCAGAGGAAGAGAAGGGGAAGGGAAGAAGTTCAGCAAATTTAAAAATGCCAGGGTCTGTGATAGTCTGTGTGGAAAAGAGCAGATGAAGGCTCTTTTTATGTGCTGTTATTACTGTTCCTCAGGCTTAAATTGCTTCTATCTCTAGTGTTCACCTTTAAAAGTCGGACTTTATTAATTAAGATTCTTAGATTAAGACCATTTCCCTATAATTATAAAAGGGAATCAAGTCCACAGTAAGACAGTGCGTTGTAGTAAACTGTTGGGTTTGTTTTTTTTTCTTTAACAAGTACATTATCAGCACCACATATTTTTAGGTCTTTGTGGCAGCTTTATATGCCATATGTGTATAGTTGTACAGACTTGAGACTGAGTAAAAGGTAGTAAAGTTCTTAATTCTCTTTGGGAAAGGATAAGCTTAAATTAACAGTGTACGAGAGTATGTATTTGCTAATGCGATGGACAAAGGAATGAGAGTTAGTTCCCTAAGTGTCCTGGAAGATCTGGGCTTTGTTGTTGGTAGATTTCACTATAATCCTTAATGGAACTTGGCCATTTGCATAGGCCAGCCCAAAGAGGTATTATACACAGGCTGTGTAATTGAACACTGCAGCAGAATTCACTGGTAGAAATTGCTTTGTGTAAGCAATCTACCTGCTGCCTGCATCCATTGCTAATACTTACAAGGTGATGCAGAAATATTTTCCCTTTCCTTACCAAAGAAAAGTTTATCAGAAGTTTAACCTTCTCAAGCTGTAAAATAGATAGGAAATTGTTTTTCTGACTGGAATGTGGGGGGTGAGAGGGAGAGCTGAAGTAGCATTTTTGCAAGTGGTCTAGCCTGGTAAAATTGATGTAAGGCATAAGATTTGAAAGGGAGGAAAAAACTGTCAGAGAAAATATTGGTGATGTTAATGATCAACAATGGAATAAAAATATACAGATGCTTTATAAATTAGAGGTGTGTATGACTGAAGTTGTGATTAATTTCTTCTGACATGAAATATACTGAGATTAGTTCTTAGTAAGCGGCTCTTACCACTAATTTCCTTCTACATTTCTTTCCTAAAATGAACATCATTATTAGTGGACTGTCAGATGGTAAAATGTTTGTAATATACTATTTTATAAGTCTAATCACAAATACTGTAGTTGCCGCAGTCCAATTACAGTGAAAAACTTACATTCTCTAGTGACAGAATTTTAATTGTTCCAACTACCATTGACCCATTGCATTGGAATGTGCTTGTAAACAAGAAATGTCCAAGTATCACCCTGCCACAGTGGCTCTGAAAGCCAACCTGGAACTCAGATTCCATAGACAATTAATTCAGCTATTGATTGATATAAGATGTTCTTGTTACAATTCCCTTGAGACACCAGGAGTTTTAAAGTAAATTATAAATGTGGTGGAAAATGTAAAGTCCAAACATATTTTGTAAATTCCATTAATTCTTAGAAGTTACCCAATTACAGTTTTTGTATGCTTCCCATAATTTCATTATATATATATATATTTATGAAAATTTAGATTTGATAGAGTTTTCCCAGGCATTTGATATACGATAAATTTTTGTATTAAGTAGTTTTATTTTATAATTCCTAGAAAAACAAAATGTTTAGTGTCACCTTTTACACTTAAAATCCGTAGTTTTAAGGCTACATACAACTTCTGTATATGGAGCATGGAGTATTATTACTGTTCTGGAGAAAATAATCTTGCACTCTGTATAAGAAAGAAAAGTTCTGATTTTTTTTCAAAATTGTAATGCTATTATGCATAATTCATTGATGTGTTTATTTTTGTAATGGTGTAATCTAGGGACTTTAGTAGAGTAAGGGGTAGTTATGCCAGAGTCTTTCTTCTCTCTCTTAGTCATTGCAGGACTGCATTTGATCTGATATCTCATGTCATACCAAAATGTCGCATCCTTGATGGCATTTTGCTTACATACTTCACCTTGTGTATTACATGACTTCATAATCAATATTTGTCAATATTCCCCGTCTCTCATCATATCATCTGCTCTAGGCTTGCCTAGTAACAGTAGTGTTGGTGAGTAGGGGTACTAAAGAATCTTGAAGTACGGTTATATGCCTCATGAGACTGCACTGATGCCATGTAGTGTCAATGAAGCCATGCATGGGGGGAAGATCAAGAGAGGGCTCTAAAAGTGGTGAGTGGAATAATTAGATTCTCACAGATCTCCTGAGTCATGAGTGCATCTGCTGCAGAGGGTATCTGCTCTTTGGGTTCTGCTTTGCTCTACCTCTGTACAAGACTGCAGTTTTACTCTTGGCCTTCTCTTAAGCGCTTTATAGACACATTGTAAGCTATGATACAGTTCACTAGTGCTGGGGTAACCCAGTATGGTACTCTGCAATTTATTTAAGTTTACATTCATCGCTGTGTTAAAAATAAATTATGGTTAATTATGGATATAGCCTTTTCATTGAAAAGTCTTTGTACAGAAATAATTATTTAGCACTGAATACCCTTTTTCTATGTGTCATTTGCTGCATCTGCCTGCATTTTTTGAAAAGATAAACCCACATATTTTAAATGAGGGGAGGGAAAGAATTTTTTTTTTCTGTTTCACTCCTAAAGGACACCGTGACGGTGACTTTAGCTATTAAATTTTTGGGGGCCTGCACCAATCTTTCTTTTCTCTCCTCATCACAATAACCATTTCAGTGTCAGAGAGTATATTTAATGGATTGAATGTAGATTATGCCTATGGTATGGTTGTCAGATTACATCTTAGACTCATTTTAACAAGACAGCCTTTACAGCTGTGTTGTCTGTCTTTGTCATAAGCAATGTACCCATTTATTTAAAGATTTTCCAGATCATTTATAATTCATTGAGATTTTGATGATACAGTAGTTCACCTGCTGGCAGTGGTAGCACTGTAATTTGAAAGCACTGCAGATCTGATTACACTGTCAGTCATGGGATAATACTCTCAAATTCACATCTCTCATATCACACCTGCAAAATCGGTGGGTGAAACCAAATTGATTAAGGTCAAAAAAGATGACTGACTGAGGTGCGACACTCTACCAGAATCAGTTTCAGTCGTGGAGAATGGCAGGAGTTTTCAATGTTATACTTTAGTGTGAAGAGAATTATTAACCAGTCTGCCAGCAGCTAGGAGCATGATTGACAAGTGAGATAGGGGTGCTAAAACCTTCAATAATAAAGAATATAAAAGCCTTTAGTATTTTAGGACTTTACATTTGCTTTGCTTTATTATTCGTATGTCTACAAATCACTGTCACAAGAGATTTTGTTGAATATAGGGTTTAGTCTTCTATACCAGTATAAATGAATGAGTTTAGGTCAGATCAATCTCTCGTGGGCAAGTGAAACCGCTGATGAAATTCCAGTGTGGTGACAGTCATACTTTGCCAACCTTTGTTTTACTTTTGTTTTAGTTCTTAAAGGAGGTATCTAATGGTGTGGCAAACTTTTTTTTCACCAAAGTTAAGTTACACATATAATTTTGCAGTTGATTGACAACAGTGACATTTTAGACTGCTGTAATTTTGGTTATGTCAGCAGACAGAACACAAGTGAAATAGTTCATAGAATAAAAACATCCTGTGTAAAGTGGAATGAATGTCAGAGTGGCTTAAAATCATTGTTTTGAGCAAATCATAAAATAACTAGTCTGTTTTCTATTCTGCATCTGCAGTGAGTTAAATATATTCAGAGTAGATATTGAAAAGATGCATTTTTCTCTGTTAGGCACATTCAATTTTATATTTTTACTGTATTTTGTTTCTTTCAGCCTGTGGCGAAACACTGCAGGAATCTACAGGCAACTTTTCTTCTCCAGGATTTCCAAATGGTTACCCTTCCTACACACACTGCATATGGAGAATCTCTGTGACCCCAGGGGAGAAGGTATTTTAGCATTCCCTCAGCTAAACATAGATACTATTTTCAAAATAAAATGTTGTGTTAATTCAGCTTTTCATTTAAGTTTAAAGCTTGTATAATAATTGAAAACATGGTATGCCATAAAAAATGAGACCATGAACTATGTGCTATAGACTTGACTTTGGTCTGTGGCATTAGAACCACATCATCTATTTGGCAGCTGTCCATGGGAAATGAAGGCGTGATTTCAATCTGCTACACATTTGCATCATGAAATCTCTTCAAAACTGGCTTCCAGTTCAGTTGGTGCTTCAGTGTAAAGGTGGAAGAAGTAGTTCAGACTTCTGAATGATCTCTTTTTCAGCATGGGCTGAATGAGCTGTGTGGGACTGATAGCTGGGTTCTGCCTAAGGAAGCTCTCAGTATGTTGAATGATGTGTTTCTGAAGTGAAACAGTAAGAACATGGGGTAAAGAAAGTGTCATTATAGCTGTTTCCTGGTATCAGTTCTAGTGCATATAGTTTTACTCCCTGGACATCAGTTTTAGGAGGAAAAGTGACAGGAGGGAACTTGGCTTGGTGAGTAGTTTAGGGAGAGAAGTGTGCCATCCTACTGAAAGCAAATCCTGATCTTGTATATGCTTTAAAAACATGCTATTTGAATCTTAAAGTATTGGCTCAAATATTAGCCTGCCTCAAAATAGAGGAGAGAGGGAGTGACGGGAAGTTTCACTGAGACAAAATCTGTGGGGGGGGGCGGCAAAAAGGGATGTAAGTTCCTTTACAAGAACCAGTGGCTGATATTAAGCAGTCAAATGCAGCCTGAGGAGTGAAATATAGAACCTAACACCAGCCTCAGTACTGGAAAGTCCAAAGAGGAAAATCCAGCATTTGCCCCCAGATCCTTCGGTCAGTTTTGTAAGTGGTCACCTACTCCATAGTGGACATAATTTTCTCCTGACTGAATTACTTTATTCTGTGTTTCTTTTTCTACCAGGGTCCTGGTAGATACCAAGAATATATGTTCTTAATGTGCTAATAGGTGCTGTGGAGCTGTAAGAGCATTTGCCACTGTGGGGGATGAAAACAGTCATTTGGAAAGCATTTGCCCTCCTCTGGGCAAGAGCCAGGGACAGGAGGAAAAATAAACACACTCAGTGCTAAGAGGGCGTGGGTGGCTCTGCAGGTTGGCAAGGAAGAACAAATGGAAACAGATGAATAAGAGAAACTTTGCATAAAATATGCAGATTGATCTAGATAGGTAATTTTATGTCCCCACTATTTGTGTGGCTTCTTAGATGCTGTTGTGACAACAGAACTGGCTTAGATTTCTTCTCTATTCTGAACTAAAAAAAAAAAATGAAAATTGTAGAGTTCAACTACAATTATTATTAGCTTTTGAAAATGGCATTAATGTATGAGGTAGAAAATGGTCACACTTACATATTCATATCATACTCCAACTTTATGTAAACCTATCTGTGGATATTAGTGCAATTACATTTCTAATACCATTGAGACTGCAACCACCACTAGAACTGTATTACACTGTACCAAAGCTTAATGGCAGAAAGCCCCTATCTTGAAGTAAGAAAACTGGCTCCCTTCCCATCTTACCCCCTTCCCAAATGGGGAAAAAGACTTAACAGAATGTTCTGATTGAAATTGGATGTGATGAGTCACGTCTGTTATGCCCTGTTCCGACCTCCAGCTCTCATAGTCTCCATATAATTCTGCAAGAATGAATTAAAGGGTGTTTGTGCTAATGCCAAAAAGTCTGTTTTGTCGGTGCTGTTCCCATAGGATATTGTCTGTCGTGAGATAACAGACCTATTTGCAGCAAGTGCTTGATGTGAATAGGAGATAGCAGGAACGAGCTCTAACTCTTAACTATTGTGTGTTTCATTCAGGGTAATATTCACATTATACAGGGAATATACAAGATTATTTAAATTTTTGTTCATTTGTTTGCTGATTTGACCCTGATAGATTTCGAGAATGTTGTGTGGAGGTTAGAGTATGTATAAGTACATCACATCATGTTCTGAAATGGCAGTAGGCACTTTAGTCACCTAAAAATAAACTGAAAAAGCATCAGTCCAGATTGTCTAGCTCTTGTCTCTTGTTTATTGAGATTTTACATTGTGCTGTTTGACCATAGTTTGGAGGACTTCTATCGACGCTGCTTTCTGCAAGTACAGACACTTCTGATCTTTGATGGCAGTAAAATTCAAGAAGGATTGGACTGCAGGGGTATGCACTAGCTGTAGCATTCCTTTTATTGATAGGCATCATAAATTGGCAGCTCAACCTAAAATGTGTTCATCCCTATTACTAAAACAAGGCAGTTCATTCACCTTTTACTTGCTCTCAAGATTTAAGATTTGTACATAATACATCTATATACAGAAAAATCTCTGGGGGAGGATGATGTTAGTAATACTGTATGCCTTGTGCCAGGATGAACCCTGCCTTCTGGTGTGTAGAAATTTTGTTGGCATGGGGAGTTGCAACTGTGCCAGTGTGGTTTTTTTGAATTCACCTTTTTGAGTGAGTTATATTACTTTCCTTAGTATTTTACATGAATGATGAAATAGGACAGATAGATAAATCCTTGATTGACATGGGGAAAAACGCCACCTACAGAAAACTTAATGCTACCTGGTGTTTACAATATATTTTTTGCTTTCTTAGCCCAGGCAGTAGGAGGTGTGATATATTCTCTCAGAAGCTGCAGTAGCACAACTGAATCTGCTGTGTAAGCAATAATTCCTTGATTGTGCTGACAAATACCCATTGATTGTTTTTCCTATGAAGAATTTCAGCCATCCTGTCCCCTTGAACAAGCTCTGCCTTGGTTAGCTCTATTTAATGCTTTCCAGAATTGCAAATCAGAATCTTAAATATACTTCTACTTGTTTGGTTCCCAACCAGAAATCATGCTGTGACAGACTGGGGGTTCTGCCTATGTACAGCTAATGAATTCTGGTCAATGTTAAGGAATTGCTGTGTCATCAAATACCTTGGCTTGTCAGAGTGAGAAAAGGCTGTGACGGTTATTTCATCTAGTTTCAAAGGCAGGGGCTATTGAGGAGGCTTATTAAATTTTAATGGTTTCCATTTAGATAGCAGCACTTTTGAAACAATGGCATGATAACACCAAAGTAAAACCATTCTTTTCCCAACTCTGTCCTGGCAGCTAGGGTTTTAAAAAAGGCAAATTTCCAAACATAGAACAGAAAAATATGGTGTTTCAGCTGTGTCATGAAAAATGGAAAACTTGTGGCTGGACTGGTGAGAGACCTCAAGGCTCTGCACAGCTGAGCCAGCGAAGGAGCTATAGCTTCCATGAGTGTGGCTTCCATAAGTTGCTTCCAACAGAGCCAGCTGGGTTAGCTTAAGCAGATGTGGAAGGTGGTCTGAACCTAAACCATCCATCTGCATCTCATCTGGGCAGAGAAAAAGGCTCCCCTTTGCGAATCCATTTGCCTGCACTGCTGGGGTGAGGTGGGCATGAGTGGGAAAAGAGAAGGAGACTGTTGCGGGCAGTAGGGTTTTCAAGTAGTACAGCAGGATACAGAGCTATCTGTCTGAGACACTCAGGAAAAAAAAGGAAAGTTTAGAAGGAATCTGAACTGCAAAGTGGATGAGCTGAGTAGAACAAAAATTTTGTAGTTGGTGAGGCTTCTTTATTTGAAGGACAAATTAGAAAAGAAACAGTCTGCAAAGGACAGACAGAATTGCTGTATGAATGAGAGAATATACAGGACCTTTCTGCCATCATCAGAGGTAGATTCAAATAGCACTTATAAATGTAATAAAAAACTGAAGCAGGGGAAGGCATATGAATAATTGTACTTTTAGCCAGATCTGCATATTTCTCATGGAGAATAATATGGTAAGGAGGTGGGTTTTGAATTCTGGTGGTATTTGTTTGTTTATTTCTTCAGTTCATGTTCCTGAAGGACTGCCTGAATAGTAAAAGCCTTGTGGGTTAGACATCTGGGAAAGGGTGCATGTAAGTTAGAAGAAGTGTGAAAAGTTGATATTAGAATATTATTGCAAACCTTTCAGTATAAGGAACATGTTTTCCTTAAGTATATTAATTTATACTGTAATTTCTATTGCAATGTAGGGAAGGGATTGCACAGCAATTGTGTCTTATTTCACATTAGTCCGTTTTTATTCCTAAGCTCAGGAAGGAAGCCTGCAATATAATTCGGCTATTCATTGTTATAGGTCTTTATGAATCAGAGTGCCAATGGGAACCTGAACATGAGTTAACATAAAATATATTTCAGAAGTATCAAACTAACATTGAAGCAGAACATTCTCTGCATATAGATCTGAGACTAAATTATTGCCTCCCTTTTTGGCCCTAAAATGACAGAAGGAAGAGGGCAAATAGAGAGGACAGGCTATATTTGTTGCATGTGCTGAAGACATACCAAAGCTGCTTGCAGGATGTGCCTGTGGAGAACAGTGTTAGAGGCACAGTGCTGTTTAAGCAACACTTTTGCAGGTTTTGTGGATGTGGTAGCAGCTTCTGGATATGAATGTTTGGCCATATTTAACCATCAGAACAAGTATGCATTTATTCAGTGCTGTTCTGATGGTCCTTGGCATGCTTCTTGTCCCATACCTTCATCCCACAAAGCTGTGGCTGCCAGCATAATGTGCCTCACTGTACAGGACTTCTGGCTGTTGGATTTTATGTGTGGCCTTACAGATGTTTTCTGTTTCCCGTGGCATCATGGTAGTAAAGGTAAAAGCGGGATAGAATCACCTGTGAGTTTGGTCTTCCACTGGTCTTCTGCGGTGTCTGCCCTGTGGGATACAGGAAGATACGGCTTTTAAGAGTAACTCAGAAAGTTTCCCATTCTCCACTGAAAACAAAGGGGATTCTTGAGAATGTAATTGCTCATATGGATGTATTTAGTTACTTTTTGTGGAAAGTAAGTGAAAGGAAAACCCCTGCTAGCCTAATGTTAAGACACATAGTCTTTTGCTGTGAAAAACTGCCTCCCTTTTACATTGTTTGAAGTCTTACTGTGACTCTCTACCATCTATGCACCCAAACAACTAAGCTTTGTTATCTTTAAATTAGCTTCCTCCAATAGTTTTTATCTTCTTAAAATTAAACAGTCTGAAAAAGTTCTGCCCATCTGGTTTAATAATGTACTATGTTGTGGTTGGAGAGACAATTGATGCCTTCAGAGGAGGTGGAAGTAAACCATCCCATCTGACACTCTGGGCCCATTGTTCCAGTTATGGTGTTGTATTTCCTTCTTGCAGCTGGACTAAGGGTAAATTCCTCTCCTTTCAGCTAACACTCACAGCTGCTTCATAGGCTTCCATGGAGATATATTTTGCAGTGCAAGGTATTTGCTACTGTGCAGCAATTCATGTTTGCTTTATAATAGCAGGTTTCAGTTTTGAGTTCCTGGGATCAAAGCTAAATATAAAACCACTTGGGTGCTCATATGGTCAGTCTTAGGATCATGTCCTGCAATTGCAGAGATAATTCCGAACAAGAAGATTAAAAATCACTCATATATTATAAAATAATTTCCAATTCATGCCCTTTCATTGGATTTAGGTGTATTTGTAAAAAGCGTAAGTTTATGGCAGTTTAAAACTTCTAAACCAAAGTGGAATAATGTAACAGTCTAGGATAGTCCAGGTATTAAGTATTGAAAATATGTCTATTTACAGATGTGCTTAATAAAATTGGAAGTCCAAGTTCAAAAGTTCCAGAAATACACAGAACTCAGATTTCTGTATAAAAAGCTTTATTATACTTTCATAAAGAGTCATTAAGAGAATATGTACTATTTGTTTTAGTGATGCTGTCTTCGGCATTACTCTCCACTATTGTCAATGCTTAACTTGTCTGAAAATAAATTATCTTGTCAAAACAGTAGTAGAGGGAAACACAAACCAAAATAACTTTTTTTTACAACTGTCAGTGCTGATTATAGTTAGAATTGAACGGAAGAAGAATTGGCAGGAAGTTTATCAAATAACATACTTAAAACTATATTTACACATTATATTGTCTTACTAGCATTCTCAATTTTTTATTTCTCAGTGATAAGCTCCCTGTAAGGAATTAATGAGTAGTTGGTCTTGAAACCCCTCAAGATTAAATAAAAAACTTTTAATGTTCCCAGACAACTTTTACTTACTATAAAAAACTGAGAGGCTGGGTAAGTGTCTAAGTAGTTAGAATCCAGTTACAGGTAACCCTTCTACGCTGACTTTAGTTTTGCGGAATGTTGTTGTGATCGTTTTCTAGTAACCACATGTGATTTAATTAGGTGTTCTGTGATTGCAGATTGTTTTAAACTTCACCACCATGGACCTTTACAAGAGCAGTCTCTGTTGGTACGATTATATTGAAGTAAGAGATGGCTACTGGAGAAAATCACCTCTGCTTGGTATGCAACTATCCATAGTTACTGTACTCATGGAGTTCAGTGGACTTGCTTGCTGCTGAACCCAGAACAAACCTCTTAGATTTTAGGTGTCTAGAATGTATCTAGACTTGGTGATGGGAAGAAACCTCTAAAGGGCCTCAAATAAGTAGTTTATTTTACTTCAAGCCCTCACTTCAAGCCTTCAGCCTTCCTTTCATTGCATCTAGCTGTTACTCAGCTGCATGTGTGGAAAGATGGAAACTACAAAATGTGAAACTTTTTGCTTTGCTTATGGATATTGAAATGTGAAGTTGCCATAGTTTTGTTCATGGAAATGGAGAAAGAGTACACAGAAAAACCTTTAGAGCATGTGATGGGAAACCCATACAGCACATGATGAGCACATAACACTGTGGGTGAGAGCACCCACTCTAGAGTTGTACTTATGAGCTCTGTTCTTGTACTTTCAAAATTAGGAATAGAAGATTACTTCTATTTCTACTTTGCATGTCCTTCCCTGCTCTTGCAGAGAAAAGACAGGCAAAGCAATAATGAATTTAGAGTGGCAACTAATATGCCAGAAGCTGCAGCCATTCTTTTCTTAATTCAGAGGTTGGTGGGGAGATTTCACAGCCCACAATGGCACTGCCCAATTCAGAAGGTCATTTTGATATCCCATGATCTCCTCTATTTGAAACTGGAGATTTCAGGCCCATAGGAAATGTGAATGTCTCCGACTTCTTGGGTCAGTTTTGTTGTTTTTAGAATGAGCAATGAAGCTATTTGTTAGCGTCCTAACAGCCACAGTTTAATAATAGTGGGGGAAAAAATAGAAGAGAAAAAAAAAGAAAAAAGGAAAGGAGGCAGGAGCAGAGAACAGCTTTTTAACAGTGGTGCCTATTCTTTTGGCCTTAAAAAGAAAAGAAGAAACAATTAAGACCAGATTGTAATTATTCTTTTCTCTTGTTCCCTTCTCCCTTTCACCTACCTAGGCTGAATTTAAGAGGATAATATAGTCTAGGGTCATTTGGTTGTTAGTTTTTAAATCTCTTTGGTCCTTAGACACAATGAGTGGTATTACTGTGAGCTAGATTATGTTCCTCTCTAAAGTTTAGTACTCACTTTCCAACTCCAAAATGCCCAGATTTGTATGTATGGAAACAATATGTAATGATAACTTCTCTACTTAATTCCCCTGAGTTTTTATACTTAGACTTGTGAGCCTCACTACAATGAAATGAAGTACTGAATGCTTAGTAATGAAATCTTTGTGTATTAGGTCATGCTCTGCAGAAACACGTGTTTAAACATAAGCATGTGAATAGTTCCACTGAGTTGGTTATGCTACTCCTGTTTATAATGTTAAACACTTGTATAAATGTTTGCAGCGTTTGGCTTCAGAGGCGGCAGAAAATGCAGTTACTGGTTGCATGTTTTTAGGCAGGTTTTGTGGTGACAAACTGCCAGAAGTTCTCGCATCCTCGGACAGTAGGATGTGGATCGAGTTCCGCAGCAGCAGCAACTGGGTTGGGAAAGGTTTTGCAGCAATCTATGAAGGTAAGCCTCTTACAGCATTGAAAATGACTTGATTACAGAAGAAAAAATAGTAACTGGATACCTTATATATTAAAAAAAGACAGAAATAATCTAATACAAAAATGGCATATTATTACTAAAAAGAGATAGCAGGTGTTAACTTCCTAGACAGAACATTTTGAAGCATTTCCTGTCTTCAAATTTTATTTGAACTCTTTTTCCAGGCATACCTATGATAATATTCATAAGTGGTTTTTACCAGTCGTTCAGTTAACTAAATGCGTGTGTTCTTGTGCTTAGTGTATGGAAAAATTTCCTTGAGTATTTTCTGTTTATTCTTCAGAAAAACATGACAAGTTTTCTCTATGCGCTGGGATTACTTACTAGAGACACTCGCACACACTATTAGCAAGTCAGCATTCACCTGTTTAAAATAGAGCCTGTTTTCTTAAATATTTAATCTATGGTAGTAAACTGTATAATTTAGTTGATAGTCACAGATCTTTACATGATTATCAGTGTGGGCCCTTAAAGGCCCATTTACTTTTTATGAAAATATTGTTTATTTATCTTAGCTATTTTTTCAAATTCAGTATAACTTTTAAGTGATAAACTGTAAGTTAAAGTGCACAGATAATTATAAAACTTGGGATTTCTGTCTCATCTCTTTCTAAAGGTTAGTAAATATAAACGAAGAATGTTTATTAAATGTATTTCAAAGGTGAGCAAAAAGTAAAATTAAATAATTTGGACCTTTTAAATATATTCTGTGAAATGTATAGATTCAGATTATCTATGATTCCAAAATGTTCCTGAACTTTGTAGATATGTTTAATGCTACTAGAAATGATGAATTATATTCACTAACTAAAATACATATAGAGGTTTAAATGGATTGTGGTTTTTACAATTTGTCCTTCATAGACTTTTAAAGTCTTCTCAAGAAAAATCTTATCATTAGTTTTAAAAGGGAAGCGTAAAATGTCAATTTGAGTATGGGGAATAGAAAATATTATTGGCAGTAAGAATTCTATGCTTTTATCAGCTATCTGTGGAGGTGAAATCCACAAAAATGAAGGCCAGATCCAGTCTCCCAATTATCCTGATGACTACAGACCAATGAAGGAATGTGTGTGGAAAATAACAGTATCAGAAAACTACAATGTTGGATTAACCTTTCAAGCATTTGAGGTAAGGCCTTTTAACTATCTCAGAAAAACATCCAGTGGATAAGTAACAGTGACCTTTAAGGGAATGCTCATTAAACCTATGAATGAATTTAAGAATTCTCTATGAAAAATAAGCTCCAGAATCTAATTCTGCTTTCCATCAAACCTTTTCTTCTGCAAAAGTTTTGAAGAACATTAAAGGTTTTTCATGTTTTCTGTGCTATTTGAATTAGAATGTTGAATTAGAAATACTGACAATAATTGCAGTTTAGCAAATATATAATCCAGTTCAGCAAGGATGCTTTAATATTCTATTAAGTAATTGGGATTTTTAAATTTTTGCTGAATCTTATTGTTAAAAAGGAATGTCTATCTGGAAAGAAACCACTGTGGGTTTTTTTGACTTCTGTTTTGAGAAGGGGAAAAAACCCTGCCCACTTAACTTCAGTTTATAAACCTATATTTAGAGAGGGAAGAAAAAACCCATGGTGAGTCATACTTGCATGTCTTTAGTGTACATCCCTCTGTGCATAACATCGTTAAACAGTGGTAAACTATTGTATAACAAAGAAAAATAATATTTCACACATCTTTTATGCATATGCGATACTCTGTCTTGAAGTTCATAGATAAATTTAGTAACTTACTTTGAGTTCAGTTGTTTTATTTGAATATACTTCAGAAGTAATGACAAGAACCCTTCTTTTTAAAATATAAACTTCATGGCTTTATGGTGCACATAGGTATAAACACAGGTATAATAAATATAGATGTAATTTCCAGACTGTAATTTTGTTCTTACAGACAGATGTCAGGGGTATGGCAAGTTTTTGCTATAACTGATGAAAGGTCTCAGCATGATATAACAGGGGTTTGGGACTTTATCAGTAATTATTAAAATAAGCAATAGAAGCTGGAATAAATTTATAGGTTCTACTTCATTTTCACTTTTTTGTATCCTGAATTAATGTTGGGTCTAGTGCAGAAAAGATCAGCTCTCCCTGTCCTAAGAGTTTTCAGACTCTGCCTGTCTCAAAATTACGTAACATAACATGCCAATTGCTCTTCTTAAGCACTGTTGAAAATGACCAATGTTTTCAGTAACTTTATATAATTTATTGACTAGACATGGAGTTTTTCTAGTCTGCTACTGATGCTCAGTATTTTTCAGTGTGATCCCAAAAGAAACAGCACTCTGCCTCTGCATAAGAGACTTGCCATAGCATTTGATCTCTATACAGATGCTCAGTGTTGATCTACATGTGGTACATTATTGCATGAACTGACATTTCATTATCACTTCTTGGAGAATCAAACTTCCATCTCTTCATATCTTTTAGGATCTTCTTCTAATCACCAGATTATGAACTATTTGAAAGTGTTAAGGTGACATGTTCATGCATCACCATATAGAAAATAATTACAAGCAAAAAAAACTTAGTAGGATAGCAGTTGAGGCTGTAAGAAACATCCAGTTCTTCCTGCAGCCTGTTTAGTATTATGGCACTCTCTAGAGGTGGAACATGTGGACTGACACCTCATAATAAGAAAAAGGAAACTGAGCAGAGGTATAATTGAGTGGTAGTCTCAAGTTAGTGCCTCTGCTAGATGTATTATGAAAGGGAAAAAAAGAAAAATATTCCAACAGTAAGGACTTGAAAAGTACATGCTTTTCCAGGGAGAGTCTGAGCTGCGATTCCAGAGTGGCAAGATGCCCTTGAGCACCAAACGAGGTGCCCCAGAAAGGCACAAGCCTTCTGTTATATCTGTTTTTGCAGTGTTTCTTACTGGCTTGTCCACGGGGCTCCTCATTGAGCATGAGAGTCACTTTGGAAACTGCTCTGAAGTGCCTTGCCTAGACATTCACTGTTGGGTTTGATTTCCATTTTAGGTCCAAGTGCCTGAACGTAGGTGTTCTGTTTTTTGGTACTAAGTCCCTCTCTGGACTGATTCCTTGGTGCACTGCCCAGTAAAACAAAATGTTGTTTAAAAATCACAGTTCTTCGTGCCAGCTGAGATGAAAAAAGTAAATGTCAGGCCAAAGAGTTACTGCAGCGTGTTTGTGAGAAAATTACTTCTCTGTCCTTTGAAAGGTACAGTTAAGTAAGGGGAATTTTCATTATCCATATGTAATGCTAGAAAAAAATAACTGTATAAATAACCTTCACTCTGAAATGAAAGCGCTAGAGAAGCTGAGAATTTCAAACTGTATCACTGAGTCATCTTGTTTTGCCTGCTGTGGGCAACGCATTTTCCACTGAGTGTGGGATTACCTTTTCTCATTTGGCTGCCTGATGGACAGCTACACTTTTCAGTATCTAGATGTCAGAAGAGATGTTGGAACTGGTAACTTCATCTTTTTGCTTCATTGTTAGAGTCACCTTTATTATATTGTTCTTTTAAAATTAGCAGGTTTGGGTTTTTTTTTTTAAAGAACTTTTGTTGGCACACAGTCTCACAAGCTGAGGCAATCCAGAGGGTTTGTAGAGCAAAGCCATATTAATCTTTCTCATTTGAGTGGCTCTGTTAATCTTGTGTAGATAGAGTTCATTTAAATTATTTTTACATAAATCAGGGAATAAAATCTATCTGATTTTCTAATTCTACTAGGCATATATCTCATCATTTATGACTGAAGTCAGTGACATGGGTTGGATATGTTTACCTGTACTGTAATTTGGCTCTACCAAATAAATTAACAAAGAAAGTAATTAGAAGATTTCTCCTTAAATATGATTGCCCACAGATTCACCCTTCTTTTTTTTTTTTGTTATAGATATGTATTTTTTTCTGTTGGGGGAATGCTACAATCATTGAGTTTTCAAAATCTGAAACTGTGTATAAGGAATTTTTTATTTATTTATTTTTTTATAATGGATAGTGAGAAGTTCTCTGGCTTTCCATTTCACCAGGAGATTGATTAGTGTTTTCCTCTGCTTATGTGTCTGTCTTAGGAATTTTTCTGTCATTTTTTCAACTTAGTTCTCTAATGCCAATCAAATTCTGGGTTTTCTCCAGGGAGCCAATGGTATCTTTAATTCTCTTATAAGCAGTGCATTTTTCTGTAAAACTGGTTTGTTTATACCTTTTTTTTTTGCATTTGCTAACATTTTGCATTTTTTTTGCTCATCCACATGTAATATCAATCTTGTGGAATTTTAATGGTCTGGTAAATAAGGTTTACAGAATAAGTCGTATTACAACTAAACTCACTGAGAGTCCTTTCATTAGCTTGAGGAGACTTTCTCCCTTGTAGTAGGACGAATAAGAGACTATTGCAAGTGTAAGGGATCTTTGTATGGCAGTGTTCCCAGATAACAGTACCACATCTTCAAACCTGAGGTACAGATAAGCAAAACATATTTAAACCAATTCTTTTTCATTGGTTATGAAGTGCTTAACACCAGTCATAATTTCTCACAAACACAATACTTGTCCATTAGTTCATATAGAGATATGATGATTTATTCTCTTAATATAATAATATCGGTAAAAATAATGACATCACTTACAGAAGTAGTATACTAAAAATATATGAATATTGTTGAATGCCACCTTTCAAATTGTTTTCTTGAAAATCAATAGTACTTTGTGAGTTAGTTGATTTTTATAGTCTTAGGAAGTTTACAACTTACCACTATACAGAATGTATTTTTAGATGTTGTCTTCTGCCAAAAAATAGAGTGATTCTCAGAAAAGAAACTAGCAGTTCCACTCAATGGGAATTTGGTACGTGTAACTCAGAGCGGCTGTGGAAAAATCATAGTTTCCATGCTGCCCCATAGAACATGGAAACATGGCAAAAACAGATGTTAATTGAAAGTCTTGAGTATTGAAATTACCACAGACATGTTGAGGAAAATACACAATTCTTTCATTGATATTAGTGGGTTTTGGAACAGGTCAATTCTTCCTACATCAGAGTGCAGTATGATTTTTTTGCTGAGATAACAAGACAAAGTTTGTTTCAAGTTGGACTATGATGTCACATGTTTAAACCTAATTGTTTAGATTAATGAAAATTTGGAATAGGTATTACAGTGTCAAAAAATGATCAGTGCTCAGGTAGACACCGCATTAGTTGTGAACATGCAGTTGCCATTGAAGTCAGCAATGGCAGGTTGCATCCCAGATCTTCATAACTTTTCTCACTCATTTCCCAAACTCTGGCCCAAAGCAATTCCTGAGCAAACAGCTAAGAAATTACAGTAAATGGCAATATGGATTGTGCCAGAGAAATGAGTGGGAGAAAATTACATATGTAAATGCTTGAAGAATTGGAAAGTTGGAAAGAAGACAGATAAATTTTGTGTGTAAGTGCCATATTTTGATGCTATTAAAATGAAGCAAAATCAAACAACCCCTTCCCCCAGTTTTCCCTCTGACATAAAATAAGAAGTAATCCTAATGTGCTAATTGAAACCTCCTTAGTCTGTGGTGGTTACTGAGCTTAGTGTTGGTATTGTGAACAATTAGAGCAGAGTACCAGCAGCCACTTGTACTAACTGTGCAGCTTATGTGCAAGAAAAACTCTGTCTGGAGATGAGCTGTGGATTTTTCTGGGTTTGATTTTGACTTCTTTGTCATTTTAACAGGCCAGACCAGAAGCTGAGTTAGATTTGAAGCTTCTTCAACCCATTCTCCCTGACTGTGGTCCTGCCCCCCCATCCCTAAACCTGACTCAAAATTCAGCCATTTAGTCGAATGATAGATTTTTTAGAGGAAGAAAGTAAAATATTTATCATCACCTGAAATAGCATAGGTTGATAATGTCTAAAAATCTTATTCATATTAATTAAAATTGAGCATTTTAATATTTCAAAACAAATCAATCTTTCTGACCTGTTGCGTTGTTGAACCACTAATCTTGTGTACTTGAGTGTACATGAGAAAAGAGGACTTTATTTGAGCTCAGAGTAGGAACATGATGAAACATGAGGAAACTTAGAGGTGAGAGTGTCTTTTTTAGCTATTTTTTTTTCCCCAATTAGTCTCTTTTGTCCTGTGTAACTTCTCAACAATTTTTCTTGCAGGAAACAAGTACAGTTAAAGAGTCCAGTTATGATTGTTCATCTTCCTGATATTTGAATTCCAAACAGAGAATCCTAACCTTAACTTTGAAAATGCTATTTATTTTCTGATTTATATTTGATATTTATGGTCAAGTTCAAATAGGTCACTTTAAAAATGTTTCTTTTACAGATTGAAAGACACGATAACTGTGCATATGACTACTTGGAAATTCGAGATGGAACAAATGAGAACAGTCCTTTAATTGGTCACTTTTGTGGCTATGACAAACCAGAAGACATAAGATCTACCTCTAATACCCTGTGGATGAAGTTTGTTTCTGATGGAACTGTTAACAAAGCAGGGTTTGCAGCTAACTTTTTTAAAGGTAAATGTAAAAGCATATTTTGGAAGCTGTGAACTGCTTAGCACTTGTGTTTTTACTAGGAAAAAACAAACAAAAAACCCCACAGAGTATTAACATTTCTCAACCTATTTTAACTAACATCATCTCTGTACTATCTGTAGTATATTTTTTACCTGGGCATACAATTTTACCAATACAAAACAGTAAAGGTATTTGAATATCCTTGTAAAATATGTTCAAAGAATCAAGGAACATACTCAGTGCAACTTCCTACTCCATTCAGATAACCGTAGTTTTGAAACGCTTTTGAAACATATATATTCTTGTAAAAATGTCTTTTTTGGTCATTATGTTATCAAGTATGAAATTAAATAGTATAATCACAAATGGGTCATTTATTTTTTTTTCTTCTTTTGTCTAAACATGGTTTTTCTAATCTCTTTGCTGCAGTAGGCTGCTGTAGCAACTTGTTGCTTCCTGTAAGCAAGAAAAAAAACCACCACAAAACACCTGAGAAATCATAGTGATGAATGGCCTCAAAGTCTTCCTCCAGTTTGGGGTGTGTGTGATACAACTGCAGTGACAGCTGCAGTACTTGGTGCAGGGGCAGTAATTCCCACCATGTACTGCCCATGGCATAGGGAAAGCTACCAGCAGTGGTGAGGTTATGGTGACACCCGTAATACAGGTCATGCCATCAAGACAGCCTTTTTGAAGAAGCTGGGGCTTTTCTCACCCTGTTGTTAGTTTTCAATATAGACAATTATAATCTTGAATGCTGTAGACATGAGAGTGGGAGCTCTGTTTTGTTCCTAAGAAATTATTTGTCCTGGTATAAGGAAACAGTATTTCAACATCTGAGGAACATTTTAACAATGAATCTCATGGGTATACTTCAGAACTAGTACAGAAAATGTATTATTCCTTTCCATCCCCCATTCCTGATGCATCTTGTTCCCTTTAATATCAGCAGAATGAAAACCTGGGATTTGAGGATTCTGTTAATCTGTTTTTGAGTATGACTTTGGGATAATGCACAGATTTATTCTGTGGGAGATAAAGTGCCCTTCAAGTGACCCTGCTGTGGATTTTCAGTCTTTCTTTCAATACTTTATACAACCTTTAGATTATGGTGCCTCAATTACTGCATGCTGTCCACAAAGTGCTTATAAATTAGGTCTGCATCTGTCAGTAGGTATTGTACAAAACCCCACCCAAACCTTAGAAAAGACATTTTTTTTTTTTATTTTCTCCATTGCAAACCTCCTTAGCATTTGAAAATCCTCTAGTCAGCAACTGCAGTGTGTTATGTAGTGCACCTTATAATGGCATGCATACAGCTTTCTGAGTTAATACTGATCCAGGAATTACAGCTGAGGAAGGTAATTATTTAACACATTTTTGTGTTCTTCCCTGTCTTGGCAGAGGAAGATGAATGTGCCAAACCTGACAATGGTGGCTGTGAGCAGCGCTGTGTAAATACTCTGGGCAGTTACCAGTGCGCCTGTGATCCTGGTTATGAGCTTGGTCCTGACAAAAAGAGCTGTGAAGGTACGGTGTGTTGCTGTTTTATGGGCTCCTAAACCTCACAGAGAGCCATTGCTGAATGGAACGATATACTTTTCATATGCTCTGTCCTAGCAGTGTGAGATCTGCGGGACCCAACCTGGAAAACCAGTGCTCTCTTTTAAGTAATGGTGCCAAAGTCATGTCTGTCCACAGCAGTCATGTTCCTTGGATGTTTGTCACTAATTTAGCTTGACAGGCTTTGCTGTTAGTCTATCAGGAGTGATGCAAAATCGGACTTTGTACCTTCCTAAAGCACTTATTACATTATTCATACTCACTAAAGCGAAGTCTCCCACCATGCATAAGGAGACAATTATCAGCAGAGCAATGCACTACTGTCTCTGAATTTAACAATCCCTCAGACCACCTCTAATTGGGGTGGGACTGGGGAGCTGGCAGGTTTAAAGTACAGGATCCTTTAATCTAGATCAAAGCTCACAGGAATCCTCCCCACTCCTAGTCAGACTGTGGAGTTTCCTTGCTGGAAACAAATTCTACTTTACAGGGTGAGCAAAGCATGTTCAAATAATCATTTGGAGAAATAAAAACCTGGTAAGTGGAAGTTGTGTAAACATAGGATTAGACTGAGATAAGATTTTGTATTCTCTACATATTCCATATCAAAGGAAAGAAGCAAAATCTCTTGATCATTGTGCACCAATTATTGTTTGATTCTTAATCACAAACATCAATAAATTCAGAGATAACACAGATTATTCTTATTTCAGTTCATCTGTTTGAGCAGTGAATGGAGTTTGAAAATTGGGAGTGCCTGGAGTTATGGTTGATATGATTCACTGGTGTCTTGTCTTTTTTTTCTTTTTCCCTTTCCTTTCCCTTTTCCTTTCCCTTTTCCTTTCCCTTTTCCTTTCCCTTTTCCTTTCCCTTTTCCTTTCCCTTTTCCTTTCCCTTTTCCTTTCCCTTTTCCTTTCCCTTTTCCTTTCCCTTTTCCTTTCCCTTTTCCTTTCCCTTTTCCTTTCCTTTTTCCTTTCCTTTTTCCTTTCCTTTTTCCTTTCCTTTTTCCTTTCCCTTTTCCTTTCCCTTTTCCTTTCCCTTTTCTTTTTTTTGCTTTTCTCCCTTCCCTTCCCTTCCCTTCCCTTCCCTTCCCTTCCCTTCCCTTCCCTTCCCTTCCCTTCCCTTCCCTTCCCTTCCCTTCCCTTCCCTTCCCTTCCCTTCCCTTCCCTTCCCTTCCCTTCCCTTCCCTTCCCTTCCCTTCCCTTCCCTTCCCTTCCCTTCCCTTCCCTTCCCTTCCCCCTTCCCTTCCCTTCCCTTCCCTTCCCTTCCCTTCCCTTCCCTTTTTTCTTTTCTTTCTTTTCTTTTTTACTTTCTTTCTCCTTCTCTTTCTTTTCCCTTTCCCTTTCCTTTTGTTTTCTTTTCCTTTTCTTTTTTTTTTTTTCTTTTTTTTTTCCTTTTTGTCTTTTTCTTTTTTCTTTTTACCTAGCTTTAATTCATGATTTGTCACAATTTGGGGAAGTTTTATTCCATTTCTTTTCACTTTTTGTTCTTTTGGTTTTGGCTTTGTGGACTTGGACATAGACTGTGGGCATGTTAGATTGTGATTCTTGTCAAGCTGTTTTTTTTGTTGGTGGTGTTCCCCCCAGCTTTAGTAATGACCACTTTGGGGAACAAAAAATTTATTTAAACATCTGAATATTACTCAGGATACAGAAAATAAGGTTAATCCAAGGTGGGACCATGAAGACAGAGGTTTGATCTCTGGGCCTTTGATCATCAGCCCAAATTTATGTAAAGAGTTTGGTTTAGTCTGCCTGCTGACCTAAGTCAGAGTATTAGGGAAGATTATTAATCTTTCAGAAAGCTTTTCTGCTTTCCAAACAGAAAAGCAACTCTGGCAAAAGAAGTAACTCAGAGTAGTGCAGTGTGGAGCAAAAAACGTGAGCTATCCATAAAAGCATATATGTTCCATGTGACATAGCATTCTCTATATGTAGATACTACTTGGGACTGCTGAATTAAAATCACTGTGTTATCACAGCGAGCGTTGCATCCCAGTTATAATTTGGTCTCTTGAGGGGTGACCTAGCTGTATTAATTCTTGCATGATACCAGAGTAGAAGCTTCCAACTCAGAAACTCCACCTGATACATCTCTGCAGTCTAATCTTTGTGCTAATCCAAATCTCCCCCACTGAAAGAGTATTAAGAAGCTTAAAGATTATTTTTTTCCCCCATGTTTCTACATTTCATGCCATTGCCTCAGGGAACAATGGAGTGACACTGAAAAGCAGAGATTGAAATCAAACAGTAGCCATCCTGACCTAGACTGGATCATTTGGGGGTATATCCTGTGTCATCAGAATGCAGTCTCTAGTGCCTGGCCCTTTTTTGATATACTGAGGCATGACCTCCTACCCCGTTTGTGTTACCTTTGTGTGTACACTAAGAAGCCTTCTCACAGGAAGCCAGGGAAGCCTAGTGCCAGAAGGAAGACTGGTATGTGTCTGGGTTGGCCAAATGAGCCCTGAAACTGGAGAGTTCTCCCAGGTGTTTTGGATAAAGTGGCTGTAGTGTGAGAGGCACACAGCTAGACAGGAATAGCCAGTTTGTAAAGCATTCAGTGTTAGCACAGAACAGGTGGGAAAACGTGGAGCTTCCCCTCACCTGAGCTCTTTAAAAAGAGATTTGTGGATGATTTCCAGTGCTGTCACAGTGCTGTGATAGTATCAATGCAGCAGTCTGATCAAGAAACCCTGCAAATCCCATTACTCTCCTTTAAAAAAAAAAAATAAAAATTCCTCAGATGGAAAAAATTAATATGTTTATTCTTTGCTATCTGAACTGCATTCACAAACATAATACAGTCTTGTTCCGTTGTACAAAGGTGACTATTTGGCATATACTTAGAAATAGCAAGTATTTTTTCTATTACTTGAACACCCATACTTCAGCAAAAAGTAGTTGTGACTGAAGAGTATGTGACTGCTATCCCAAAGAAGTGACCCTATCTACTAGGTTATGGGGGGGATATACAGCTGTGTGAGCTGAGATAGGTACAGCTGATTCTGGATCAGTAATCAAGGAGAGAAGCAGGGGAAATGTGAAGCTCATCTTAAGTAGTCCGTCTGTCAGAAGAAGGGTGGTCAAGGTCCTGGGGAGGGTGGTAGGGTCAGAGGACTTGCATGTGAAAGGCTGTGAGAGAATAACCAGAGTCTCTGGAGGGAAGGGAAAAGAATGAATATGATAACGCCTTGTGTAGTCCTGAAACTTATCTCTGTTCGCAAACCTGCAAGCTGTTCAAGATAGGAGCTGTCTCTTTCTCTTTGTTTGCACCAAGTATGATAAAACATGATTCTGATTACTCTCTCTGGGCATTACAGCGGTATAAGTAATGAGAGGATTGAATCTTCTTAGTATGCTTCTGTTTATAGTAAAACACAGTTTCAGTCAAATAATAATGCTCTCCCCTTTAATTTTACAGCTGCTTGTGGAGGACTCCTGACAAAGCTAAATGGGACTATAACCACACCAGGGTGGCCCAAAGAGTATCCTCCAAACAAAAACTGTGTGTGGCAGGTGGTTGCCCCAACACAATACCGAATTTCAGTGAAGTTTGAGTTTTTTGAGTTAGAAGGGAATGAAGTAAGTAACCGTGAACAAAACGCTGCACAATCTGTTACACACTAAACAATTTCGCGAGCTTTCAAAATGGATATTGCCTTATAAAACCCTTGCTGACCTTTCATATGCTGACAATAACCATAGATATTCTTATTTTTGTTTTGGGACTGTTTCTGGATTATTTCAAAACAAACATGGAGAGAATAGCTCTCTTTTACATATCATCTAAATGTATATGTATTACAAGAAATTTAAAAGTAATGTTCTCTGCTGACTCTCAGCTGACTTTTTTTTATCAACAAAGTAAAATAGAGCAAATGGCTGAGACGTATTGGAAAGAATTCAACAGAAGAAAATCTGGAGAAACCAATCATCTTTGCAGAGTATGACTACAAAGAATACACATAAGCTGTGGTTAGTGATGGAGTGAGGGAGCATTTAAATCACTTACAAGTATCTCTTGGAGGGGGATATTTTAAAAGGAGCAGTACCAGAAATAAGGCATAAAAGAGGAGCAGCAGTGTTTGAGCTGGGCAGCCCCTGGAGGTGTGGGGGATATCTTCCCCAAGTGGGGAAGAGAAGGGCAGAACCCTCCATGTGGTAAGGGCTGCTCTATAGTTATAAATTAAGTAGTGGGGGATGCAGTGTTTTTGGGGTGAGAATCAGTAAATGGGTGTCAACATCAACTTTTCAGCCTCTCTTCTTCCTAGACACTCCTCAGTCATACCATTAAGTTCCCCTGCCACAATGTAGCCTAATGTACTGTAGCCACCGAGTTGATCTGGATGTTCTTCACATGGTATTAAGAACGCAGATCCCAGGACATTATTTCTGACTAAACAAATTTGTAGCAACATGTTTGATACAAGGATGGGCCATGTTTGGGGCATGAGATCTGAAATGGAAAAAGCTGTAATTTGTAACCAAGAAACAACCAAGCCATAGCTTCTCAAAAATATCTCAGAATTACTTGCAGAGGCAGCAATGTGAGGGCTTAATTTTTATTTCTTTTTTAAAATAATTTGGGGTAGATTCTAAAATCCATGAAATTCCAATTTTTAATGATTTATATGTTACACTCGTCTTTTGTTAGCATTATTGCAAGAAAAGTGTAATAAAACCTTACAAATCCCAAAGAATTAAAATTTAATTACCATTTGAACAAACCAGAACATATTTTTTCCTTCACTTTCTTGGTACTTAAGCCAGATTTTCAAGGAAGACACCTGGAGTGCATGAAGTTAAATCAGTTTTCTAAGGTTGTACTCATATGACACATAACTTAAGCAGATATGAAAAATACATACTTAATGGTTTTGAATATTTAAAACTTTGGCTTGATCCTCTGCTACTAAATCTCAGCTTTATGCTATTAAATATTAGTACTAAGAATAGTACCTCTGGAAATCAGAAGTAACATACAATATCTGGAACATTCTAACATAGTGTCTGAGTGCAGGCATAAAATGTATCAATTTAGCAAATGCTTTAATTGTTTTTTTTTACAGGAGCTCCACTTAGGATAAGTTGAGTATGTCTTTTCCAATATTACCATTTTAATATTTTTCATTTTACAATTGCAATTTAACTGTAAATTTTTTAAAATGTACTGTAGTATGAAGGAAGTTAGACTGATCTGAAATTACATTTCATTTCTAATCTAAAGGTATAAAACCATCCAAATTCACCACTGATGTTTTGCTGAAATTGTTGGGATTTATTAATGTTGTGAGCTACATTTGAAAATCATTAATATGAATTTATCTTACAATTAATGTAAATCAGCATGTGGCAGGAACTCAAGTTTTATGAGTCTGTGTTCTTTATATTGTATAAAAGTAGCTTCAGGTGAATTAGTTAATTTCCAACTCTGCAGTGTGATTTTTTTTTTTCCAGTAACAATATTTAATCTACATCTATATTATATTAAAAACAATTAGGAATGTTGACAATCATTTCATATTTCATAGGGAGAGAGAGCAACAAGGGCCAAAAGAGTCTTTTCAATAGCTCCCTTCCAGTTCCCCTGACATTTCTTTTTTAGCTAGAAATTGTGATCTATCCAATACAACTTGGATTTTATGGACAGTCTAAGCTCTTTATGAATCCTCCTGGCCACTGTTTTCATGTAAGCTATTAATTTCAAACAACTGGGACATTTTTGATTAAATGATTGGTAGTTGAGCCTAAGAAGCTTAGAAGTTTTGGGTGGAAGGCTTTAGGTCGACCAAGGGATTACGCACTGAAAGTATTACCACAAGTAGCAGGTCTTGCATAAGGCTTTTTATCACATTATTTTAGTTTATTTCTTACCTTTTAATGGAAATGACACGCATCACAGCATCAGTCTTCTAAACTGTAGCTTCTAAACTGTAGTTAAAGAAAGGTGGATGGGTTTAGAGTGCAGATGGATATATTTGTGAACAGATGGATATGTCTTAAGTATGTTATGGTAAAAACTTATCTTGTATGTTTCTAAGTGAAAATTTAAAAAATTTAAAAAATTAATGATCTATGAGATGCAAGTAGTAGGTTTGCAGGTTCTGGGTATGAGGCTTATAGCATGAAGGCAGTTATAACTTTTAGGGTTAATATTTCTAGATTTTAATCTAATATTGCTGGAATTTTTATTTTTTAGACTAAATGGAAGTGCTGCAAGCATCTTGAGATTTAAATACTAAACACAGATTAGTGTCTATCAAAATACATTTTTTGAATGTAATGGGTAGTGTAGCTGTGCCTTAGTGACCTTAAAATATTCTTACACAAATCAGTGGATGTTTGTAAGCATTTACAAATGTTTTCAGTGTCAGGAAAAAGTGGAAAAAAAAAAAAAAAAAAAGGCCAAAACCTATTAATTTATTATTTAGCAGCATACACCAATCTGAGTTCTTAAATTTGTAAACAACTTCATGCTTTTCTTTTGATTGGGGAAAAAATATTTTTCTTTTTCTCAGGTTTGCAAATATGATTATGTGGAGATTCGTAGTGGCCTTTCTTCTGATTCTAAACTACATGGTAAATTCTGCGGTACAGAAGTGCCTGAAGTTATCACTTCTCAGTACAACAACATGCGAATTGAGTTCAGATCTGACAACACGGTGTCAAAAAAAGGCTTCAAAGCACACTTCTTCTCAGGTATAGAAAATTAATCTTGTATACCTATGAGTGTCCCTGAGCATACAATGACTAGGTAGAGTGAATACTCTATTTTGATATGAAAGTGAGTGGCCTTTTCCTTTACAGTTTCCCTGGCAGCTTTGAATTTGTTTTATTTATATAAGCACAAACAATTCTTCTGTCTTAAAATACTGTTCTGAATTGTAATTTATCAAAAAATTTTTTCCCATTTCTTCCAAACCCAGTTGCAATGTGATATGAATTATGTACTGTGTACACTTGTATGTTTTTTTCACTCATCTCTCTTAATATATTGCATTAGTTCTGAGATTACCACTTGTGCTACACATTTGTTTAACATTATGGGTGCTTTCTTGCCAAACTTTGCACTCCTTAATGTTTTGCAGAAGACCAGAGTTTAAGACTTTGTTCTTGCAAAAATATGTCTTTTTTTAGTTATGAGTGTAATTTCAGTGAGGCAGATCAGAGAGATGGAAGTTTATATCATCTGAAGCCATGTATCATTGAATAAAGTTAGAAGTGAAGCTGAAGATGTGAGGAAGTATTTGCACAACAGTAGCCTGTGCAATTACCCATTGAGACTAAATTATAATAATCTGCCTGTGGCAGGATACCACCTAGTATTAGTAGTGGAATTTTGCTTAGTGTTTCTCTTGTGTGTTTACACACATACCCAAATGCATATGTTATCTTGTGTAAAACCACACCACAAAACAGTTGTGTCAGCTCACCTCCTCAAGATGGAAGTCAACCAGAAGCATTTGGAATTTGAATTCTGCCCCAGGTTTTTTGATAGCCATTAAAAATCAGAATCTGGAGAGTCTTGATTATGCTTATCATGTAGCAAATTGTATTACCCGGCATTGTTACTAGAGTTTGTTTGCTAAAATATTTTATCAAAACTGGAATGAAATCGTATTTCATTGGTTAGCTTTAAGAACTGATAACTTATCTATTACCAAGTAATATGAATCAGAATATTGTATAGGTGATATAGTTTGTAAAGTGAGGAAAAGAATTGTCCAGACAAACAGTTTAGACATTTAGAATAGCTTAACTCTTCTAAAGCATATTATTTTTTTTCTAGTAATCATGTTTCTCTGGTCATAGCCTTTCAGATCCATCTTTACATATAGTAATGCTTTTTACTTTTGATTTTATGTGTTACATTAGCAAGAAGCTTTTGAGGTTTACTTGTTATTTGTAGTAAATATGTGTATGCACACAACAGTTTCCTCCTAGAAACACCTACACAGCTAGTCATTTCATGTAAGCCTGGTAATGCCAGCAGGAATCGTCACTTATTTTGCCTTTTCACGAGAATAAGTATTGACATGTTCTAGTTCTAAAAATGGTCTGCAAATTAAGTTTGTTATGTATCTTCAAGATCTATACAGCTATGCTAGATAAGATTGATGATGACGGGTTTGTAATTTGTATGAGCTCTGTAGTTCAGAAGTGTTGTTTGTTTTTTTTTTTGTGGACATGCTGAACATTTATGCATTTATAGTCGAAGTTTGGTTTTCTTTAAATGGATAGTTCATTTTCACAGATGTAATCATTTATTTCCTTGACTGTTTCACTGATCTATTAGTTAGTGGGTTCTCGGAAGAAATCAAGCCAATGCTGTATGTTGGGGAAAAAGTAGACTATGTATAATTCATGGAGTTCAAAGCATCAGGTTGTAATCAATCAGAACCATAAATTCCTTGTTTTTTTCAGCTCTGAATGAATTGTTCCTCCCTCCCTCCATTCCCCCCTCCCCATCCCAAGCTGAAACCAGGTTTTTCCTGGTAATTTAAAAAATACGTTCTATATGATGCCATTGATCACTAAAATAAATTCATTAGTCAGGGATAAGTCTGAAGCAATGTGATTTTTATTGAATAGAAATGTATGATGTGTCCTGGATATAGTATGTACTTAATCCCCTTCAAAGAAAGATAGTTTGATATAAACAGTATTTGAATCTGTAAGTATATATGTATAAGTATATAGTAAGTATAAGAATGCTTCATTATGCATATCTGCCGTAGTCTTTTCTCCCATTTCATATGGGTTCAGATACTTTGACTTTTATTTTTATGCTTTCTCAATTCTCTTCCAGTTGTTGACCATTTCTGGCAGATTCAATTCTTCTGTTTTATTTGGCTTTCCCCTTTTGACAGTATTTCCTGATTAAAACAGAAACTGTAATCATTGGGACAAACTTCTGAACCTAAAGTATCTAAAAAGAAGTTGTCATCTCTAAATATTTCATGGCACAAAACTCTCATGGCTGTCAGAAAACCCATTAACTTTCTTACCCCTGAATCCCTTAGTACAGACATAAGATGCTATTGGTCTGTCAATGAAGAATGGACTTGAGACTTCAAGTGTTTTGACTACTGGGAGTTGATAACTGATCAATTTTCAGCTGACAAAGTGGTGGTTTTTTTCCCTATTTATGTACTTTTCTTCAGAATACAATACTTCTAGAATTGTATCTGTGGAGAAATGGTTAGTGCTACTGTCAAATACTTGCTGGAAGGCATTTAACAGTTTTATTAATTAAATCACAATAGGAATATATGTAAGCATTTGGTTATAAAGACAGGCACAATGAAAAAAATCGGGAATTAGTAAAACACTGCATCTTGAAGTCTGTTTATGAGTAAAGGGCATATGCAATGCACAGCAAGAGAGACAGGTGGATACATCAGATTAGTTTTAATATTAGAACTGTAATGTGTTCCTCAAGCACAGCCGAAGAACTTCTTTTTCTACAACTCCTTTGGGTGATGAATTCTGCACCCACAGCTATAGTTGAGAAAGCATGGCCCAGCTCCAGCTCAGATGACAGAAAGCAGTTTTTGGGTGATTGGAATCCACTGTGATAAACTGTGAAAGCAAACAGTGACATAGGGCAACAGATGACCTGCCTTAGGAAGGTATTTATGTTGCTATAAGACAACATTAATTACATTTTTGGCTGTAAAATGGTGTTAACAGCCAGACAGGTGCTACTGGAAAGTGAGAAAAACTTTTTTATTCAACATTCTGTAAAATTTACATTTGATGGGACAGTTCTGAGGGAAGCTCAGTTGGGAGCCATTGCAGGGATCTCTCTAATCTCCAGAGACACGTTTGTATATTTATCATCAAGTTTCTTGGATAAAGAGAAGCCATAAGGGAGTCATGTTATATCATTTTTTTTTAACTTTAAATATTTTATTTTGGAATTAGATATTAGGCTTCTAAAGGGAACATTTGCAGTAATTAGGTTTGTATTCTTTCTTCTGCCCTCCCTTAACTCTCTCCTGCTCTGTTACAAGACAGTAAACTATTGGAGTCTGCTTGGCCCATAAAATGACTCCATGAATTTACATTAGGGTGAAAAAAAGATAACAGTAATATATTATTTTTTTACCCTGTGATGTTTCCAAGAAGATAGGTTAATGATTTCTTTAAATCAGTCTTTGCATAGTGGTATGATTAATACCCAGTGATAACATGTCACAAAACTGCTTCCACTTACCATAACTTTTAGAGTTACTTCAGTGTTTTAAATAAACATGAGTCTAAACATGATCATTCAAAACATACATTGTGTTTGTTGTAATATAGGAAAAAGGTTTGTTGAAACATACATTTTTTGGGGTGATGATTCATTGAGCAGTTAAAACGAGAAAGCTAGAATGTTTCTAGCCTTGAGCAAATTTTAGAGAACAAACTCATTTCTGGTGCCATCCTGGTACATTTTTTTTTCCACAGACAAGAAAGCTGCCTGCAAAGAGAAAATTTTTGGTTTTGAATCTTGCAAGGACTTGGTAGAGGTCCCTTCAGGCCGAGTACGTACTATTCACAGACTGGTGGCCTCTGAGGGTCTCAGAGGTACGACTATTTGTCCTCTGAATGATTCAATCTAACATTTTATTGAGAATGGAACTTTCACTCTTCTGAGTAGTAAAATGAGAAAAGAAAGTATCCATTCAAAACTGGGAGACTCATTTCCATCTGCCAGCCTAACAAATGGGTTTGTTTTTACATGGCAAAACATTTGTTCCTATAACTAATACAGACTAATTGGGTTTTTTTCATGAATTTTGAAACTGGGGGATCAATTTGACAGAAAGTCTGTTCTGAATTATGAAGTGTGATGAAGGCTTGTTCAACAGTTGCATCCTTGATTAACCATGCACAAGCAATTATTGTAGTTCAAAATCAGAAAGCTTCTTCTTTCTACCTTCTGTCCATTGTTGTATCTCTGAGAAGGTCCAACATGGGACTGTTTGCTTATGCACTTGTCTCTTAATAGATTACTTTATAGAATAAAAGCTTATTTAATGTTAAAATACTTTTCAGTATTTTCACACAGTTTGGTTGAAGATGAAAATGGACATGGCTTTTATTTAGAATTTGTGTACCTACTCTGTACTCGAAAGCCTAACTTGAATGCATTTTGAGCTTGCCTTCCATTCAGTTTGCTATTTTGGTAGAAACCTACAAACTAATGCTTAGATGGGGAAATATTGAAGAGTTTTGTTTGTATTGTATCTAATATCTCATTTGCTCATTGCTATTCTTCATTTACAACATGGAATTAATTTATGTCAGTGCTTGCTTTTGCAAAGATAAAATATTGTAACTTTTGTTTGAAATGAAATGGATTTACTATCTCAGTTTGGGATTTGCATTGCATGGGGCATAAACAGTGTATCGTGGAGCTTTCTTGCTTCTTTCATCATCAAAATGAATGACAACTAGTATACGCCTTTGGATGTATGATTCTGGAAGCTACCAATGTTTTTGGCTGCTTCTTAACCTTCAAATCTGTTCACATCTGCAGAAAGCTTTGAAAAGCTTTCAACGCAAACAGATTTGAGATTTACAGGGCAAAATGCAGTGGATGCTTGCGTTTGACTTGCAGAATTTATCTGTAAATGTACATTATCATCATGTATTATAAGTAGGAGCTGATTTTTATGGAAAGACCTGCAAGTCAACGGGTCAAGTGTTGCAAATGCTTTGGCAGATAAAGCTGATGTGTATGCATTTATAATGTAAACTTCCATTGTCATGTTACTAAATATGAGCATAAGGGCAGGGGGAAAAATGCATGAGTAAGACAATGAAAAGAGACTTAAATTATCCATAGAGGCTTGTAATCTATAGAAATTCTTACTGTGCTGACTAAAGTCTGAAACACTGCATGTTACCGTGTTCAGAGATAACACTTACTGCTGCTTTTCAAGGTACATGAGGCAGAAAGGGGTGGGTGCTTTGCATTCCAGCCCTGCAGCAGCTGGACCTCTGGGATGTCCACAGTTTAGGCTCTTTTTTCCTCCCCTTTTTTCATGTTGAAATAACACATGTTGTAAGACACAGTGTTGTAAATTGTGTTTATGTGTGTGTATATATATATATAGGCATATATTTTTCCATTTCAGGATTTATATCTAGGTCTATACATATATAGAGAGGTATGTAGATGTGCATACATATACACATGTATGTGTGTATGTCAGGAGCAGTCTGCCTCTTACAAATGGGCCAGCCTCACCTCAAATGACAACAGCTGAATGACATAGAAGGGTGGCAGCTGAGGCCTCTTTCTAGAATGACAGCTTGTTAATCTAGTTTGGCTTCTGTCCATGCAGTGAATTTGTAACTGTTTAATGGAGGTCATATTTCCTCCCTGACTCTGCTTTATTTCTAACACACTAAAAAGCTCTTTTGAATGATTATATCTTAATAAACAGAACTGCATGCTATATTGTAGATCTCCTTGAAATAACTAATGCCAATTTCTTTTGTATGTTTTTCAATGAAATGCTTTCCTTTTGTGATGTTCTGTACTGTCCAGATTCGTTAAAAGTAAAGCACACTATCACTCTGCTGGGAAAAAAAAATCAGCTTATTAAAGAAGTTTATGTTAAATCCTTTTTTTCTTAATGCAGCTTGGAGCATTTTTTGGCTTACATGTTCCTTTTGACATACCATCATTAAATTGTGGAATTTGCATAAAGTTGAAACTGTGTTGTCCATAGATTACATCCCTGTTGCTTACTGAAATAAAGCTTTGGATGGGATATTTATGATTTTTTTTACCAGCTAGATCACTTGAAATAGCAGACACTGGTAACTGTCTTACCTCCTTTGATTTAGGTTGGTTGGTTGGTTGTTCCTCTCTCTAAGGAACTACCCCTCATTTCCTAGAAAGATGAGTCAGGCTGTTTGTGCCATGGTGCAAGGCTTTAGGCCGAGCAATGGGTGGCTAGAAGGTACCATGAAACTGCCATATTAAGAAGAGTGATTGTGCCTTAGCTTATCCTTTTCTTGAAACACTGTGCTCAACTTTTTCTCTTTTTGGTAATGAGGACTACTGCTAGCTTGATGCTCACCCGACCTTGTTTTGTATTTCTTAGACAAGGATGAGTGTTCAAAGGACAATGGTGGCTGCCAGCACGAGTGCATCAACACGGTAGGAAGCTATGTTTGCCAGTGCCGAAATGGATTTGTGCTACATGAAAATAAACATGACTGCAAGGAGGGTGAGTAGTAAGGTATTTGAACAGTTAATTATACAACTGTTTTCAGAAAGCTCCCTGCAGCTCTCCTTCCAAAGAAAAGAAAGGAAGGAAAATCATCTTGGTAATGGGGGTTTAGACATTTGGACTTAAACACTCCTTTGCCCTCCCTTTCCCACCCCCTCTGTCCCAGCATTTGTGTGTCGCTGAGTTTGAGGTCCACAGGAATGCAGTTTGGAAAACTTGGGATCATTGGCAGGGAGTGCTATTTTTAATAGTTCTGTGAAGTGTAGAACATTTAAAGCTGTGATAAATGCTGCATAAAACACTGGGATAGAGTTTCTGGAGAGAAGCCTGGTAAACTTGTCATTTGCTCCTATCAGTAGTAGTTTCCTTGCAGTCACGTTGAAACTATCTGCCCTTTCTGAGATTATTTTAGGGGACATATTCAGAGAATCTAAATTCCAGCCAAGTCCCTGTGCAACTTTCTTCCTATTACCTGTCTCAAGGTGTGGCTACCTCCAAAAAAGCAGTAGGCTTTGCGGTTTAGGTAGGGTTAGGTTATCTGCTAATGAAACTCAAGCGTGCAGTATCATGTGAGCTACTGCAGTTTCTCAAGGCTGTATTCTAACACGGATTTAATTTGCGAGTAAAGATATGCCCTTTGTGAATCATTTGCATTTTCACTGGTGTTGAAATTATGCTTGTCTGCTTTAAAAGATTCCTGTTGAATAATTCTCTGATGGTTATAAAGGAATTTGAGATTATTAGAAAACTAAATGCAAAAACTAAATTAGTTTCTTTCTTGCCTTCTTTAAGTTTTATTTGTTTGTATTTATTCACAGAGATGCACTTAGGGAGTGAATGGCTAAGCTGTTCTTGTTTAGTCTTAGCTATTCTCTACTGGTATATATGTCCCTAAAAACTGTGGTTTAGAAATCAGAATGATTGCTCTGTATCTGCAGTATGAAAATTAGTGAGAAGAGATTAAAATAAATTGTTCAAGAAATACCATTTGATGCTGGAGTAGCAAGATTGCTCATATTGATTTTCATACTTGTATGTAGAATAGCAGGAATGGCAAAATATTTTATTATGGTTTAATACTTATGGTCATTCCTTCATTTTTTTTTTTTTTTTTAAAAAAAGCACCACTTATTGTAAATAACAGTATACGTTTCAGTAGTCAGTAAACAGGTTAGTTTAGTTAGTTGTTAGTTGAAACTAACCCGGGTTAGGTGGGTTAGTTCCCATAATATGTGTGCCAAAGGAGAAGAACATGATTGTGCACACAGAAGAGAGTGCTTAGGTGTCTTTCTGAAGATCCTTTCCATTCCATGGGTTCACTGACAAAATAGGGTATTTTCTGGCTACCTCTGAATCAAATCCCCAGACTGACTGATACTATCACTGTTGGCACAGCTGAGTGTGAACAGAAGATCCATAGTCCCAATGGCATCATCACGAGTCCCAACTGGCCCGACAAGTATCCCAGCAGAAAGGAGTGCACATGGGAAATCAGTGCCACCCCGGGGCAGAGGGTCAAGTTGGTGCGTATCTGCTTACCCTTCCTTTCTCTCTTTTGTTCCATCAAATCTGCTTCTCAAATGACTGTTACTAAACTTTACTATCAGTTTGCAGACCAGAGGTAAACTGTTTTAAAAACCTGCTGACTCTTGTCCATTCCTGGCCAACTGGGGCTACTCAATATCATAGAGCTGTGAACTGAAGTTTGTGGTGGCTATAGATACTCTGGATAGCAAAGGGCAGGAATACTTTCCTCCTTTCAGGCTCTACTGTATCATAGTTGCGATTCATAAAATTTGCATAACGCTTTGTCAAGTGTGGCAGGGGCTATTTATGCAAACTCCAACATGCAGAATAAGCAAAATTAGAAGTTATGAACAGTCCTCTTCACATATCTTTTGCATTTATTTTTGAGGAGGAAGATACAAAACCCAAGAATCTGGACTTTTCATTTTAAAGTGGCTCCAAATTTTAACACAGATATAAAAGCTGTCCAAGTAGACTTAAGTGACCTTTGTGTCCAGCTGGCTGAGAACAGTGCTGGTGCCTGAAGACAGGCTAGTATAGCTTAGGGACCTTTGCAGTTCTGTTGAGGTTACACAGCCTCTGTACAAAGCTGAAGGTACAGACCTGTCCAGGGGGCTTTTCTGCTTTGAGTTCAGCCCCAGTGTTCCTTCAGCCAGAGTCCTCAGGGGACAGCCACAACAAAAGCTGTCCTTAAATATTTTAAAATCTGATAAATTGATTTCACATATGTTTGGGAGTAAATAAACTGAAGAAGAGAGATGTTTGCTTTAGAGAGGAAGAAGTGCTGATGTGGGATTGTGTATTGGTTCCTGTTCACCAGAATTAAAATGGTTAAACTGTTCTGGGGGATATGGGGTGGCAGAAGATAAGTTGTGTGCTCATTTAAAGGGTGAAAAACAGGTCTGTGGTTCAGGTGGCCTTCCTACTGTTACTTCTGAGCAAGTGTTCTTTCATCCTGGCGAAATAAACCAAAGCCAGTCAAGCATGGGCATGTTACTCTTTTCAGTTGTTTTAACCTCAGCCGACAAAATTCCAGCATTCAGATTTCTTCAGTGAAATATCGCATCATCTATTTTACAAGAAAAGATTTTTAAATTTGCTTTTGCCAATGAAATTGGAAAAATTAGAATTAAAAAAAAACCAAAACACAACCAACATATGTTTTAGAGTCTGAAATCCACTTTTCTGTGCAAACCAGTAGGGCATATCTACTAAATTCTACATGCATAATATCTATAAAGTCTAGTACAGCAAAATGCCATCTGAATAATATTAATACTATATAATACAATACTTCCACTATGGATAAATATTTTTTCTTGGACTTTACACTGTTTTTAAGTTTACTCTCAGAGTTTACGTAGTCAAATTGAACAAGAAGAAGAGATTTCTTCCTGGTAACAAGCCACATGAATTGTAAGCCTGAACTTAGTTTTTTGAAAGAGGTGTGAGTACAGAAACTAATCTTTAGTTGTGATTGCTCTCATTCTGATAAGCATTGAAAAGTCTCTTCCTGAAAGGCTAAAGTTAAGCAGTTAGTGTAATTAAAAAAGCTTATGAAAAAATGGACATGCACTTCAGAATTTTTAAATGAAACGTGTAGATAAAGATAGCTTTGAAAATGTATGTAGCGGAGAGAACGATTTTCATAAGCTAATCAGCCGGATGTTTATAAGAGACAGACTTAAGTGTCCCATTCAGGCAGCTATCCATAAGTGCCACCAACATATCTACTCAGTTGAGTGCTATAGATAGAAAGGGCTGGATGTTCAGAAACTATATGTAACATTTCTGAATATCATTGCCTCTTATGAGACAATCAAAATGGGGACTATAGTCATGGTGGGGTAGGTGTTCAAAAGTATTTGTCCCAGGAAGACAGAGTGTGATTCAATTATACTAACAACTTTATTAAATTATCTGTGAACTCTGTTGGCAGCAACTACTCAGTTATATTCAGCTTTAAGGAAAGTTTGTGTCAGTTCTCCTCTTTCAAACCTGCTCTTAATCTGACCTCTTTTTTAAAAAATGGAGATCATATCTGGGTGTTTTGAACTATCAAGGCATTTTGAGCTTCTGAAAGACTTCACACTAAGATCTGCTTTTCCTTAAAAAAAGAACAAATTCCTTTGATTCTCTTTGTAATTTTTAGAATCAACTGCTAGACTCACAACACATTTAGGACTTCTTTCTATTCTTTGTGGAACCCAATATAACAAGTACTGTCCTCCTGCAGACTTGGAAATCCCAGTGATAAGTCAAATGTTAAAAATAATGTGTGTGTCTTGCAGTTCATGGTGAGAACTGTTTCCTAGAGAGTGACTTTTTTGTACTGATGAGAAGTGAACAAAACTGATATAATTTTCCTCTAAAAGAAAATGAGGTTCTGCCGGCTGCTTTTAGATCACATTGAGTGCCCCTATTGATTCTAAGTTGGCTTGACTCAATTCTACATTTAAGTAACTCCCTTAGTCTGTTGTCTTTCTTTGGGTTGTTTTGGTGTTTTTTTTTTTAACCTATCAGGTTTTATTTGGGTATAAATGGCAACACGTACTTGGCATCATAAAAGTAGGATGGCTGAGTATAATTTAAGAGTAGCAGAAGGGGCTGCTGTGCAGCTGTTTTCACTGCCTCTGCAGTTTCAATCCCTTAAAATAAGCCCCCAAGCTTTCCTGTGAAATTAATCTATATCCACTGCATCATGCAACTTTTCACTCTTTGCAAAACAAAAATGCTATTCTGAATATTTTGTTTCTTTGGGCAAAAGACTTTGTGTTAGCTCTTTATAGTTCCTTTAGGTCAGCTGTTAATATAAATTACCGTCACATTTCACACTGGCTGGATTCCACAAGGGATTCAGTAAGTCAGATTTGCTTTGGTATACTAGATACTTGCTTAGTATTTGACAGCTCAGTTTTGTTAGATTTAATTATTGCTTCTTAATCCTTTAGTGGTTTTCTGGGGGGTAAAAAGGGTTGGTTTGTTGTGTTTGGTTTTTTTTTTCCTTAAATAGTCAGGTGTATAACTATTCATGGGAGCATTCATACTTAGTGGTTTTATGCTGTTTTGTTTAACAAAACATATATTGAATTTCACCTTCAATTGCAGGTTTTTTCTGAAAATTCACAAAGGTTTCTATGTGTATTGCTTTCTCAGTGTTTACATAAGAAGCAATTAATGGATTTTAAGGTTTAGGTTTCTTCTTGAAATTTAGCTCTTGTCAAAAAGTCTTACCTGAAATCTCTTAGAAATCTCCTTGAAATAAATTTGTTGATAACAGTCCAGTCTTAGAAGACACTCTTCTGTACTTGAAAAGCAGGTATTAGTTGTATGTGTGTCAGTAGTTTCTGTAGGATATGGCATACATTTTGAGTTTGAGAACTATAAATTCCAAAGTTTTTAAAAGTAAGCTGACCAGGCTCTGCTGCAAATGACTTGCAATTTAGAATTTTTAATAGACCTGAATTTGTCCTTACAAGCTGCCATGAGCACTGAGAGAGTTAAAATCCTTGAGAACACAGCAAGTAAGATAAGTGGTTTTAAGTGTAGAAGAAACATCACAGATTCAAAATGAAGTGAAGTTTGCGAGCCCCAGTTTGTGATCAAACTATGGCAGTAATTTGAATTTTCTTGGAAGAGCTAAGGACAGCAAAAAAAGTCTGCTGAAGTTCTTTTAATAAACAACATAATTTTGTAATTTGTCCAATAATTTTGCTAGCAAAAATGTGATCTTAGCATGAAGGATGCAGCCTGAAATCTTGTTAGTATTGTAATAATAAAAAATAGATATCTAGAAAATAGGTTAGAAAATATAACTTTCATGCGTAAGCATTCATGTGGAAAGGTCATTCTCAAAGGCTTTAGTTGCGGTGTGTGGTAAGATTGAAAAAAAAAGGAGGGTGCATTATGTTTTGCAGATGTCTCAATCCATCCTGAACTATCTGAGGAACCAATAATTTTCAGCTTTTTGCTGATTTAAATGTTCTGTGAAATTTGGAACAATCCTGTAAACTGCAAATTCAACAGAAAGGCCACTACATTCTAGATTTAATAGGCATTCATGCATGTTAGCTGACTATAAAGATTCTAATCCCTTTCTATATGAAGAATGATGCCCTCTTAAAATTCACTGTCTTAATTGTTATTCCACTTCCTCAAAATCAGTATGTTACTCAAAGCTACAGGCTTGTAGGGGCAGTAATGTTAAATCTGTCATCTTAACTACATCTGTTTTGTATTCTGAAACAGACTAACAGTACATATGTACTGTGTAAGTACAGTAAACACAGTACTACATTAAGTCATTTTTTGCATTTTTTCCCCCCCCTCAGACCTTTAATGAATTTGAGATAGAACAACATCAAGAATGTGCTTATGACCACTTGGAAGTGTTTGATGGTGAAAGTGAAAAAGCACCAATTCTGGGACGTTTATGTGGCAATAAGATACCAGATCCTCTTATTGCTACTGGAAACAAAATGTTTCTCCGCTTTGTTTCTGATGCATCGGTTCAAAGAAAAGGCTTCCAAGCAACACACTCTACAGGTCAGAAAATCAGGATGTGCTTTACTAATAACTTCCCCTTTGTCCTTTAGTGGAAGATGTTTCAGCATTTCTTTTACAGGAATGGGCTAAGTTAACAGCTAAGACAATGTTACAGCTAAACCTAATGAAACCTTAAGAAAGTAGGAAAAGTCTGTGACTGCAGAAAGCATTCTCTGATATTTTAGATGTTTCATTCTCCTCTCTCTCTTGCTGTACCTCTCTCATATAGGTAAGATATTGAAAAATTTTGAAACAAAGTCCCATAAGAAGATATTTATGTAGATAATCAAAGAGATATTTCTTACAACTCATGCCATTAGTTTGTAAAAGATTCAGTAGTTTTTCATTGTATTTGTAATGGAAGTACTTCACTGGGACATGTGATGCACCTCCACTACTTTCCTGTTCTAACATAAACAAAAGTCTGGGTTTTGTGTAAACAGCTATTACTTTCCCATGGAGATAAAAAGGAAAGACAGGCCAAAGAAGAATAAGTAAAAACAATATTGAAGACTTACTTAGTATTTTAGCAATATAATCTCCTTCATACGTACTAGTTAATTTTGTTCTTTGTCAGAAATCACTGAAACTGAAAACACTATTTTGCAATTGCATTAATAGGTTTCTTAGGACATTTTCATAGTGTGCACATAATTTCCACGACGTTGCTTGGCTTGCAGTGGCCCCTAGTGCTGAATCTCTGAACTACCAGTGCCTGATATCAAACTCAGTTTAGGATCTTGCATCGCTTCCAAAATTACTGTAATCATTTGGTATGGCAATGCTGAATCAAATTTATTATATTTTTCACTCGTTCAGGTAGTGTGGATTTAAGACTTTTCCATCTGTCCAGCCTCTTAAACAGTCAAGAGAATACTGCTTGATTTGCTGTTACATTTGTTAGAAGCCTAAAAACCACTAGAAAGGTCAGAAAATGAGAGGGGTTTTATTCTTTAGCTGATACAGAAAAAAGTCTTTCACCTAAAGCTATCAGATCAATAGCATTTTACAAATCAGTCATATTTATTTACAGTCAGATGCGTACAGCGCACCTACAGCAGAGCAGACATAGCTGTGCAATGGAAAGTATGATGGATGGTGTAGCTAGGTTACTTCTGATATCGGGGCTAAGCAAGTGGTGCTGTGTGGCACGTCCCTGTTGCGTGCAGACCCATCACAGCTTGTCCCACGCATCCTAATGCAGTGGTTCATTGTGCAGGCTGTTTGTCAACTTTTGAAACTACAATTTAGTACTTAAGAACTTGAAAATTTGACTTTTAATTTCTAAAACCAATACTTCATCCTAAAGGGATAAAGTAGGACAGGAAAGACTTGAAGCTCTTGGTTGATGAGATGCAGCACAACATGACCCGGCAATGTGTACTTGCAGCCCAGAAAGCCAGCCATACACTGGGCTGCATCAAAAGGTGCGTGACCAGCAGGTTGAAGGAGGTGATTCTCCCCCTCTACTCTGCTTTCCTGAGGTCCCACCTGGAGTAGTGAGCTCAGCTCTGAGGCCCTCAGCACAGGAAAGACCTGTTCATGTCCATGAACTACACAGCTTCATATAGAGCTGGTTCTCAAGGTGCTTACGTGATGGCTACAGCTAACGCTTCTATGAAACACAAGACTTTTGCACTTGATTGCTGACTGCATGTGTGCTAGAGGTGATCCTCCCCCACCACTTGCAAACAGTGTTGCTAACCCATGTGGAAAAGTCACCACAGAAGTATGCTGAAGCACTTGACTTGCTGGTCACAGGCATCTCTCAAGTGCCTACCCAAAGAATGTCCTACCCCATTCTTTATAACTTTGATGTTCCCTGTCGTTTTGTCTTTCACTTGAAAAACCTGAAATATGTTCAAGCCTCTAGTTGTAAAAAAGAATTTACATAGGAAAAACTCAGAGTGATGGATTTGTATTCATGCTGGGTAGTATTTCACTCTATACCTTGTTAGACTGACGTGCTTGATGCATAAAAATCCACTCAGCCTGAATAAGGCTGGGCATCTATTAAAAAAACCCAAATTCTTACTGAATAAGCTTTTTCATTCCTTCTTCTACCCCCTCCTCTGTTCAGAGTGTGGTGGTCGGCTGAAAGCTGAAACCAAACCCAAAGATCTGTACTCACATGCTCAGTTTGGCGATAACAACTATCCGGTTCAGGCAGACTGCGACTGGCTACTGGTGGCAGAGCGCAGCAATCGAGTTGAGTTAATGTTTCAGACGTTTGAGGTTGAAGAAGAGGCAGACTGTGGTTACGATTATGTGGAGCTCTTTGATGGTCATGATAAGACAGCTGTGAGACTTGGTCGATTTTGTGGATCTGGGGTAAGTAACAAGGTACTAACCTTTTTATTTCCACAACAAAAAGAGTAAGAAAGACAGGGCAGAGGAAGGAAAGGGTCAAGAAGGGATGAGGCTCAGTAACTGTACCTTACAATGAAGATACTAGATTATCTGCTTTAGGTTTTGGTGGGGTTTTTTAATAGAAGTTTGCAGGCTTATAGTACAAGTATTCCCTTGAATTATTTTAAACAATAAATATTCTTATCTAGTTCTTGACCAAAGTATTGTAATGTTATGTTAAGCTTTAGGTACCTGACAGTGGGGTGTTTATCAGCAACCCAAAAATAGCTACCATACATTTTTCCATGCAGAAAGAGAAACACACCAGTGTTGAAAACTGTCACATTAAAATCCTTTCAGTTTGAATGAAGAAGCCACATTTTACAGAGGGAGAAGTGCTTGGGAAGCATTTATAATATCTACTCATCTACTTGTCTACTACTTAAATCTGATTTTAGGAAAGAAAGTGCTCCTAAAATATGTGATTAATATGGGCCTTAAGAAAGTCCTGTCATTCCATATGCAGCTCTGATTTGTTTTAACTCTGAGACATGGGGGAAATTGTCCAGGTGGCAGTCCTGGAAAGGATGTATCCTAGTTCTCCTTTTAGACTTGCATTGTTATGTTGGCTGCCTGCCTTGTGAAAGCTGGTGCAATGATCCCATGAGTCCTCATCAATTCTTTATGCATGTGGAAATGCAAGCACACTTTCATACATATATATACTCTTTGCCTAGATAAAAGGTTCAAAAGGCTCTACATGAGTCAATAGGAGCTCTTAATTAACAATGTGTCACTTTTTTGATTCACCCACAGTGCTGGAGCAAACATTTCAGTCATTCGGGCTAGTTACCTGTAAGTTGGCTTATATCCTTTTAAGGCATTTTTGAACACTAAAAGATGCAAGAAAGGTGCTGCAGGAAAGGTGCTACCACTGAACTTTAGGCAGTACATTCTAAGCAAAATGATACAACTGAGCCCAGCATCTACTAATTTACACAAAACAATACTTTGCAAGTTGCTCTATTTTTCAAGTAGGACAGCAAACTGGAGAATGGCCCAACCTTGGGCTGAACTAATTCTTCTTTTGGGGGGTGGATGGGTGGCGGTGGTTGGGTTTTGTTGTTTTGGTTTGCTTCTGGTAGGATATGGATGAATGGCTTCAGAGGTCACATAGGAAAGACAAAATTAAGTAGAAAAGTTATTGAAAGCAAAATAATCCAAACTGAAGTGGAAAAAACACACTATTAATATATATTGCTGCCTTGTCAAATTTAGAAAAAGGACTTGCTAGTTCAGCTGATACTTCTGATTGATGTGCTTCAGTAATAAACCAAGCCATCATGAGTGCTTTGAAGAATAAGATGGAAAATAGGTACTGGAGTCTGTTGCTTATCTAAATTTAGAATATTGTGCATGGTCCAGCTCAGTCACTTACATGACTCCAGCAGTAATTATAGAAGACATCTGGGAAGGACAAAAGAACAAGGAGCTTTGTTTTCTTTGTATCATGAGAAAAGACTGTGGAGATGCTTCATACAAATTGAAGAAGTTAAATCAGATTCAGAAAGTTAGATCACATGTTTATTTAGATTGTGTGAAAAGATGCTTTTTGGGCCCAGAGCTCAAGATTGAAAGAGTGCACATTTATATAAAAGCAAAAAAGTTACAATAACAGGGAATTTCAAAACTTCTGCCAGCAGATAAAAATTCAAGCATCGTGATTTAAACTGGCCTCCAGCTTTTAGGAGTTTAGGTTGTCATTTCTTCAGTCTGCCTCAAAATTTCCTAGCTTATAATTGGAAGCTGAATGACATAGATGTATTTTGTCTGATCATGTCAGGTGGCACCGTATGAGACCCGATGGAATTATATGACAAGGCGTAACAGGAAAAGAGAAATAGCCATAAGAAAAAAAAACAAGTGAATCAGGGGGATAAATACACAGAGTGGACAGATAACTTATTTGTTTCTTCATTTATTTTAGCCACCAGAAGAAATCTATTCAGCAGGAGAAGCTCTTTTACTTCACTTTCACACAGATGATACAATCAACAAGAAAGGATTTCATATACGATACAGAAGTATAAAATATCCAGACAGTGTGCACACCAAAAAATAACACAAGAACCTCTAAGCCAGAAAAGGAGAGTGAGAAAGAAAGAACGCACAGTGAAAAGGAACAAAGGTGTGTCTTTTTTTTAAAACTGCAGTCATTAGCACAGATGTTTTATATGAGTTCAGTTGAAACGGCGACCAGAGACTGAACTAAAATTGAAAAAGAAAATCAGCTATACCGGAGAAGTAGTCAAGATGATGATGTGAAGGCTCCATACTTGACTGTTGCTGCAAAGCTTGCGAAAGGACTTTGCATGCAGGGAGAATAGAAGAGCTTTTGTTCGTGGTTTGACGTTTGTCATAGATGCGTGCAGATTCAATCAGTTGAATTCAGGGGAAGTGACCCTTCAGACCGTTCTTCCTTCTGACAATTGTATGGTGTCCAGGAAGAAAAAAAAAAAAGCTCTTTCAGGTCACACAATCAAAATACTGTCCTTATATCTAGTTGCTTTGACTTTATATCCTGCATATGGTGTGTACAAGGACTTGAAAGAAGATAAGAAATGGGAAGGTCTTCCTACATTATTCTGTATTTTTTACAAATTCATCTGTCATATCAGGTTAACAGTGTTTTGAAACTGGAAAATCCTACTTCTGAAACGTAACTGATCTTTAGAGTATTTTGTTTTACTAATGGCTGAGAAGTCTGAACTGTTACATCAGTCACTAGTTGACCAATCGCTAGTTGACTGAATTTGAACAGTGTAAGCATCTATAAAATGTTTGGTTTACTAGTTAAGTAAGCTATCTCTGATGATGTGCTCTTATTTTGCACTGAACATAGAAAGACTAAGATTAAAACCTGTCCTGAATCAAAATCTGTATCCATGAGAAACAGAAATAGTCAAGGATCATATGAAACTCCTCCTACTGAATTTGTTTTCAACAGTACATTTGGAGCCACTACTAAGCTTTGTTTCTTTGGACCTCTTTTGTGAATGAGCTAATTATCTGGTTTGGCTATGCAGAAATGAAGCTGCAGTGGTATCCAAGAGGGAGGTTTCCCAAAGAGTTGTTTTTTTTCTCTGGGAGTAAGAGTATCTGTGATGGTGAAAAGAGCAAATCAAAATAACAGACCCAGGATTTCTTTGTTATTGAGTGAATTCCTATGGTGCTATTCCATGAACACTAAAAACAAACCCAAGAAGTTTTAGACTTTTGAGCCAACAGCTTGCAGATCATGAATGTCTCACTATGCCTGGCTGCATCTGGAGAAGGAAGGTTTTACTGCTCCAACGGAGAGTGGGTTGCAACGGCAGCACTAGTCCTGTGGAACAACTACTACTATTGCCTTAGAATCCTTGCACACGGTCAGACAGATCTTCCTGTAGATACACCTCTAATTTGATAAATATGTTGACGACTTGGACATCTTAGTGTACACTAACAAAAGGATCCTCAAGTGAAAGCCCCATCTGCAGAGCGAGATCATCTGCTGTAAATACAGTGACCTGCTTTTGATGTAGAGATATGTTACGTTTAGAACTGAGATATTCTATGTGTTTAGGCCAGACATGGCTTTAGTCATAATGTATATGCATTATGTAAGTATTGTATGAATGAATGCTCCAGGGGAGTGAAAGGTATTGTATGGGTGAAAATGGAATTGTTTCTTTATGTGCCAAGTTCTGTCAGGACCCTGTTTGACTGTAGCAACTTTTCTTTAAAGGCTTCATAGACAGATAACGAGGACTTCTAGTTGGCAAGAATCAAGTTTAAACGTATTATGTTTCACTTACGAGAAATATTATTTTGATATCCTTTGATGTAAGTTGCTACTCAGATTAGCTTAGTTTCTGTTTCCTTACTATGAACATACATTGGCACTAATAAATCTGACCTTTTTTATATAAAAATAAAACCCAAATGTCTATATAGGTGTCTTTGGTTGTTTTAACAGCACTGTTGCTGCTCGTTTATTACCTTTTTCCTTCCCAGAAAGCGTATGTGAGTGAAGTTCAAAACGTGAATAATTTGTGTATTTTTGTAATGCTGCTCCACTCTATTTTTGTTTGGTTTATTTTTCAGGGGTTTTACACAAGAAGTTAACTGCAAACATTTTCTCCAAGGTCTTCTAAGACAAAATTCAGGCAGAAATATTACTATAGTTAAAAAGAAAAAAAGAAGTATTCTGAAACTTGATACATAATTTATCAGCTGCATGAAATTCCAGTGCTCAAATTTCTGAGAGGAAAAGCAGGCAGCAGCAGAAGCAGTGTCTCCCTGGCATGGATAATCAACGGGAGTTGGGAAAGTCTGAGGCTGGGAGGAAGGGCATGTTTCCATGTAATCTTTTTTCCACGTTTCTGCTTCAGTCTCCTCCTAATATTATCTGCCATTTGCTAAACAAAATATTTTAAGTCTCCCTTTTCTCTGCATTTGACTTTTTATTCCCCCCTAGGTTTGCTTTAACAATCATAGAGCTGAGCCAAGATTTTTTATTTTCTTGAAGGTGGTTGTTTTTGATTCATACAGGCTCCTGTATAAATCCTACTGCCCTATGCTAAATATTGCAACTGGAGTAGTTGGTGAAGAAAGTTAGACAGGCCAAGAACACCATATAGTGTATTTCCAAGGCTCTGTGAAAGGTGGTTCTCTGTGGTGATATCAAAATATTGCTTTTGAGCACACTACGTCAGGGATTGTTTCATATGGAATATGTAGAAATCAGAAGAGAGTTGCTTTAACTTTGAATGCAAAGTTTGATTTTATTTCTCCAGTTGGTTATTCCTTTGTTGAGCACATATGCTCGAGTGGTGAAAATTAGAAAGGTGTTCTTAATGTTTATCTTGATGATAAATGGACCACATAGATAATTTCTTTGCATTGTCCATGATCTTAGTTAATGCCTCGTGGTGCTACCAGATGCCACTAAAACTATAGGTATTTCCAAGTTCTAGGAGGTTTTTCCAGATGTAGAGAAAATGACATATTCAATGAAGTCATTTAATAGCAGTATGTCTTATAAATAGCCTGGCAATAAGAAAAAAATGCTTTCACAATTTCATCAGCATAAATGATTTTTTCAATGTGGGTTATGCCAAGGATATCTTTGAAATGGAGAAGTTTGTTCATGACATGAAGATCTTGCCTGTCAAGTAGTCAACAAAACATGACACAAAATCCAGTGAGCTGGAGATCCAGCTTTGAGACCTAGTTACAATGCATTTACTGGCAACACTCTTAGAAAGGTGAAGACGATACTCATTCTGCTTCCTATTTGAGACAAACTTTCTTGACTGTGGGCAAGGTGCTGGATTTAAATTAATTTTCCTGTAACATGACAAACTTTTCTTTTGTGCTAATATTATTTAATGTGAAATTCAACATAAATTAGCATAAATTGTTAAGGAATATAAGGATCTCTGGATATAATTATGCTGGATCTCTGTGGCTGACTGGCTAATGAAGAGCTTAAGTCCGTAGCATAGAAAGTTATGTGATCAATACCATGCTTAGATAAGAGGGAAGATATGTTTGTGCACATCATTCCTTAAACAAAAAGAAAAGAGGAAAAAGAAAGGAATAAAAATCATCAGTGAAATTCACTTAAAATGGCTGCCTTACATAGGAGCTGCGAAGGTCTAGCTGGAAGGGGATAAAGAAAGGTAGGTGCACACAGCAGATACTCTGTTCTTTGCTGGCCCTTTGTTATAATTTGCAACATATTTGAGTAATCTTGCCTGGCTCTGAGACCTATGAAACAGTGAGTTGACCTAAGCATGGGTAAGAGCCAGATCAGGTCCTTAACGTGGTATTGCAGCATTATGTTTTCATTTAAAGCAGATTGCTTTTGAACCCCAGAAAAAAAAATCAGATAATTGAGTTTAAGCTTTATCCACTTGGGAATCAGTTATGCAATTTCACTATGTTGCCAGGGGTGCAAGTGGCAAACTTCATTTTTTATAATGGAGGAAATTGTTGTTGACCTCACAGTTTGCGTGCTGTATGAGCTCTAGGTGTGTGCTGCACCACCATAGAGCGTGGTCACTGCTGAGGCACACTGAAACTTTCTTTTACAATTAAATGGTCCTGTTCTGCCAAAATTTACAGATCTCAGGGTTTAGGGACCTGGTATGGGTATGTAATTTCAGGAAAGTATTCAGACTTAAAATAGTCCTGACCAGTAATCAGAGGGGAATTTTTCTTTGACTTCAGGTCTTAAACTGGGTCCAAATGAATAATAGGAGGGGAGGGGTTTTATCATATTAACATATGTGATCATACAGACTGGCACAGCCTTGTCTAAGGACTTGCTCATAGTTTGATTTTATCATTGATTGTTATGATTCAATTAGTAATTGATCAGGAAGAAGAGCAAGAACAAATAAAATGTCTGGAAAAGCCAAATGTAAAGATACCACAGATACAGCTACAGTTCATCTTAAAAAAAGAAAATAAATAGATGCAGTCTCCAAAGTCAGTGCTGTTGCTGATATATTAATTTTTCAATGCATCCTTCACATTTTAAAAAAATGCCTTGTGCTGTACTGCTTTCATTTACCTTGAAGAAGAGTTAGATGATTAATTACATTGGTTAGTGATTTTTTCAAGCAGAGAACTGAAGACAGTGTAAGGAATGACTTGCTTTTGGTTCCTAATGTTGCATATCCTGAGTAAGTGCCTGTTTGTGAGGGAGTAACACTGGGCTATAACTCTTACAAGCTTGTTTTTTTCCCCTCTGGCACTCTCAAGTTTTGCTGCTCTAAGCTGAATACTTGTGCCAACATTTTGTTACTGCTTGTGATCTAATTAAGCTAATCAAAATAGTAATGTCCCTGCCCATGGGGGGGGAGGATGGGGGTGGAACTAGATGGTCTTTAAGATTCTTTCCAACCCAAGCCATTCTATGATTCTGGGATTATGAATCAGCAGCTGCTTAATACTGTTATTTTATGGAATCAGAGTGAATGAAGTCTGATTAAAACAAAAAGAACAAAGGAAAATGCATTTTGCAAGTTATTCTTTTTTAGCAAATGTTCTCATTTCTCTTGGTTTCTCACTCTGGGTTCACAAAGGAAGCAAGCTGTAGCAGCTGTAAAAATAGTGCGTTGTGTGGCCAGTGAAAGGAAACATTGGCAAAACTTTGGTCTTTCTTTGGTCTTTGGTTTTGATCCCACCTTTACAATTGTTTTCTTTCATGTATTTTACATGTAACCTATCAAATCTCATGCTAATCCAAGGTTAAGTGATCTGACATATATATACATATATATATAAAAGATAATTTCTTTTTTTTTCCTTCAGTGACTTTCAGATACAGTAATTCTTTCTGTGTTATTTGGAATCCTGGAAAAGATCATTTACTTTATGCATGTAAGTTAGAGTTAGTTAACCATGTGATAGCAATTTCTGAAATACATGTAACACCAATAATCACATGGACTGTAAAGTCTTTTAGAGCATGTTCAATGACCTTTATCTCCATCCATGGTAATGCTAGTATTAGTGCTTTCTACATGCATATCAGGTAAGTGGTCACACAATGAAACGCAATGAAGTTACAATGGAAGAGGAAAAAGGAAAAGGATATTTGGCTCTCACACAGCATGTGATTCCCACAGAAGAGAGTGAAATTGTGAAAGGCATGTTAGAAGAATATATATAGGAGTAAAAGAATTAATTTGAACAATACAATATTTAAGCTGAGTGTCAGGAGACCTTTTCAGTGTTAGAATAGTTTCCCAGGGGTGATAGTTCATCTCCCAAATATCAGAAACTGTACTGTATACAGAATGTTACTTAATGGAGTAAGTGCAATACTCAAAGGTGCCTTTCAGTTATGAAACTCTGTGCTCAAATATGTGCAAAAAATTTGCTATCTAATGAATTTAATAGTAATAATAATACACTTCTTTAATTAAAAGACCTGAAGCTAGTGAAGACAAAAGCACTTCTATTGCAATAGAAAGAAAATAGTAATAACCTACAATATCGTACAACCTAGATATTTCTAGTCAAAATTCTAAAGTAGAATCTTAGTACACAAGCAGTGCTGACAGTTGTTGAGATGCCTTTATTAAGGTTCTGAAGACCTGGATGGTCAAAAGCTGATTTCTTTGAGACATCTTGGGATATTATATGCTTGTCTTTTTAATATTGTTGCTATGTCTTTGGATGATCAAAACACAAACAATTTTCATTGGTATAATCAATAGCATTTGCTGTGCTATATAGGAAGGCCATATAGAGGTAAGAATATCACCTATTGTCATAATAACATTGTCATTCTCAGTGTTATGATATCAGCAAATGCAGTGAAATACTGAAGACATGAATAAAACTTTTGGAATATTTCTAGATAATCATGATAGTAAGTCAATTTTTGACCTTTCAATGTGAATTTTTCTTAAGATTGCTGCATCATTGACACATTATTTCTTAAAATGCGCATTTTAGAAAAGACATCAATCCTTCATTTTCTCGGTTAGTTTGACTTGTAGGAGCATAAAAATATTTTAGTGTTAGTCTGTGCTTATAACTGTTTAAAGAGTGGGCTGTTCAGTTGTATCGTTGAAAGTATTTTTACTTTTTTTTCTTTGAAAACCCTATGAAAAAGGATCTTAGCATTTTGGAAATATAGTGACAGCTAAATGAACTTAGTGTGCGGTAACTTTCCATAATGCCTGTTGACGATGAGGGAGGCAGGCAGGCAGGGAGGGAGAGGCAACTCTTAATTTTGTTTACAGAAAATCTGGCTTATGAGTTCTCTATTGCAAAGGGCATGTTTGTACTTTGTTTATGTATAGGCACAATGAAAATTGGGATGAGAATGTCTCACAATACTTTTGTTCTCTTCTGAAGTCGTCTGTGAAATGTTTAACTTGATAAAATATTTGAGTTGAGATGATACAAACTAAATACTATAAGGTATCAAATACCCTAGTCACAATTCAATATGTTGTTAAGAATGTGCTATTCTCCAATTGAAAACAACATTTTTTCCACGGCAGTTTTATCTTTAAAAATATTTCAAAATTAGTGATACTATTCTCTTAACAATTTTATTTGTAATTTTACTACACCATTAAATTTTGCTAATTTTGCTGTCCATAGAATCTTGGACTTGGGTATTGCAAACTTTTCTAAATAACCAATATTTCACATTTGAAGATGCTTTGGGTGCTAATTTTAATATAGTAAAACAGGTGGCAAAGATTTCGTGGCATACATGTTATCTATCAGTCATGAAACACAATGGTTTCAAGGTGCAAGTCTTTATTGAGATCTAATGCTTTTCAGAAGTAAAAGAAACCTTCCATACTTGTTTTTAGAATTATTCTTTAATTAAAATTAAGAATATATATGAGACTTGCAAATGGAAGTGAATAAATGCTATATTCTAGGGTATGGGGAGGAAAAGTTAAAGGTCAGATTTCTAAGGCAGATTTTAGGTAGTATAATTTTGGTGTGCCATAATACCTAGAAGAAAGTTTCAGAAAACCTAGTGAAAGTATTTATTCTAATGAAAAGAGCATTATGAATAAAACCCAAACTGAATGACTTTGATTTTGCTTTACTTTATTAGAAGCACTATTTTTGCTCTAAATAATTTTGGAAAGTCAAACTCAGTGGCCTCTCATTCCTAGTTCTGCCAAACCAATACCAGGAAAGACTGTGAATCACATCATTATTTACAGAAATAAACAGATTTTTAGCGAAATGAATGGCACAGTAAGTGCAGAATACTAAATATATATATTTGCAAATATAGTTGGAATATACATCAGGGAAGATACAAGAATTTCCTAGTTCTTGGTTGTAGATTTTGCACAAAATGGCAATTAAGAAACTAAATGGTCAATCAATAACTTGTCCATAGGCTGATTTTACTCTGGAATTCATCCATATTACAGCTGTTCAGAATTCACAAAAAAAAAGAAATACATAGTATGTATCAGTTAGTGTTATAGGTGTACATTTCGTCAAGTTAAGAGGTAATGAGAAGTGAATACTCCTTTGAAATGCTATGGAGTATTTGTTAGGGTATATTATCTATAGAATTCCTAAAACAAAATCTATAAAATAGATATATTATCTATAAAAATCCCAGGCTATACTTGTCAAGATCATGAGTTTGTGCCCCTAAAGAGACTGCGTAAAAATTATATAGTAAACATAGCAGAGTAAGAACATGGGTTTTGCTCTGCCTGGTGGATGCTGTGGTCCGTACTGTGCCTATGTTGTTTTCAGACTCTGGGGATAGGGACAAAAGGAGGATGGGCCAGAGGTACCATAGCAGGCAGCTGTAACAGTCTCTGGGAGCCTGAACCACCTACAACCAGATTGGCATGCAGAAGGCCTTCCATGTATGCCATAGGTTAAGCCACCCATGCATCTTCTCCCTGCCTCGTGTTGGAAGGTCCTTGGCCTTAGGAACTCCTTTCCTGAATAGGCTGTTAGGCAGGCAATGTGATTAGCTTCCCCCTTGAAAAGATAACTGGCAATCCTTGCAGTTGCTGATTTCCATCTAAGGATCTTGGATTGGTTGGTGTGTCCTAGTTTTGGTGTGTATTTGGTAAGCATTAGTGAAAACAATAAGGGATATATTTGAAACTGTAAGTTGGAATAAATTTGTTTACTTTATACTGTGGACTACTGAGTGGAAGTCAAGTGCTAAGTGAGGTTAGAAGTGAGGTTATATATGTGAAAAGGCCTCTTTTCCTTGAGTAGAGTGTACATTCCATCTCTTATGTTCACTGCTTTTATCTAAAATCTGAAAACAAATGACCTTGCAAGAGCAAGCTGGAAAAAAACCATAAAATTCTACGGCTAAAAAGTATTTGGAATCATCACAAGGTGGCTCCGTAAGGAACTCCTGAGTCTGAAAATGTCTAAAAAGGTTTTCAGACTATAAAGTAGAACTGCTGAGGGAGAATAGAAGAAAATGAAAAGTTGTGATTGAATATGGTGGTGTTATTGCTTCTGCAGACAAAACCTTTATTTTTTTGTATTTTTACTTTTGGTCATGATCTTCACAGCATTGCAGAAAGTATCCCAAATGCGGCCTTTAAAAGGCCTTCTTCTGGGTGTAGCTGTTGAATGAAGAACAGCTGTTTGTATCCTAAGCGAGATGGATTGTTTTAAGTGAAAAAGTACTCTCTGGAAATAGTGTTCAAATAAAAAACATATGCAACTGCCAACATCCTCAGTGCTTGATGTCTCTCCAAAAAGGAGGACTACAGTTGCCTGTTATGGCACCATATTAAACATTTTGTTCTTATACAAGTCACCTGAGGAATACTTCAGAATTTGTTGTCCAGTCTCCTACTTTCAAATATGTAAGAAATACAGTGGAAATCAGACATG